TAGTCAGGTCTGCTCATGGTATAAGTCCTGTCAATCTAGTCAGGTCTGCTTATGGTATAAGTCATGTCAATCTAGTCAGGTCAGCTCATGGCATAAGTCCTATCAATCTAAAGTCAGGTCCTCATGGTATAAGTCCGGTCAATCTAGTCAGGTCAGCTCATGGTATAAGTCCTGTCAATCTGAAGTCAGGTCCTCATGGTATAAGTCCGGTCAATCAAGTCAGGTCAGCTCATGGTGTAAGTCCTGTCAAACTAAAGTTAGGTCCTCATGGTATTAGTACTGTCAATCTAGTCAGGTCAGCTTATGGTATAAGTCCGGTCAATCTAAAGTCAGGTCCTCATGGTATTAGCCCTTCAATTTAGTCAGGTCAGCTCATGGTATAAGTCCGGTCAATCTAACGTCAGGTCCTTATGGTATTAGTCCTTCAATCTAGTCAGGTCAGCGCATGGTATAAGTCCGGTCAATCTAAAGATAGTATTGGTCCTGTCAATCTAGTCAGGTCAATTTAGTCAGGTCAGCTCATGGTATAAGTCCGGTCAATCTAACGTCAGGTTTATGGTATTAGTCCTTCAATCTAGTCAGGTCAGCGCATGGTATAAGTCCGGTCAATCTAAAGATAGTATTGGTCCTGTCAATCTAGTCAGGTCAGCTCATCATGGTATAAGTCTGGTCAATCGAAAGTCAGGGCCAACATGGTATTAGTCCAGGCAATCTAGTCAGTTTAGCTCATTGTGTTAGTCCGGTAAATCTAAAGTCAGGTCCTCATGGTATTAGTCCAGGCAATGTCCGGTTAATATATAGTTAGGTTAGCTCAAGGTATTTGTCCAGATAATCTATAGTCAGGTCAGCTTATGGTATTAGTCCAGATAATCTGTAGTCAGGTTAGCTCAAAGAATTAGTCCAGATAATCTATAGTCAGGTTAGCTCAAGGAATTAGTCCAGATAATCTATTGTTAGGTTAGCTCAAGGAATTAGTCCAGATAATCTATAGTCAGGTCAGCTCATGGTGTTAGTCCAGATAATCTATAGTCAGGTAAGCTCATGGTATTAATCCAGATAATCTATAGTTAGGTTAGCTCAAGGAATTAGTCCAGATAATCTATAGTCAGGTTAGCTCAAGGTATTAATCCAGATAATCTATAGTCAGGTTAGCTCAAGGTATTAAACCAGATAATCTATAGTCAGGCCAGCTCATGGTGTTAGTCCAGATAATCTATAGTCAGGTTAGCTCAAGGTATAAGTCCAGATAATCTATAGTAAGGTTAGCTCAAGGTAATAATTCAGATAATCTATAGTCAGGTTAGCTCAAGGTAATAATCCAGATAATCTATAGTCAGGTTAGCTCAAGGTATTAGTCCAGATTATCTGTATTTAGGTTAGCTCCAGGTATTAATCCAGATAATCTATAGTTAGGTTAGCTCATGGTATTAGTCAAGATAATCTATAGTCAGGTTAGCTCAAGGTAATAATCCAGATAATCTATAGTCAGGTCAGCTCATGGTAATAGTCCAGATAATCTATAGTAAGGTTAGCTCAAGGTAATAATTCAGATAATCTATAGTCAGGTCAGCTCATGGTAATAGTCCAGATAATCTCTAGTAAGGTTAGCTCAAGGTATTAATCCAGATAATCTATAGTTAGGTTAGCTCATGGTATTAGTCAAGATAATCTATAGTCAGGTTAGCTCAAGGCTCACGTACAAAAGGTAGAAGTACAAAAGGTAGAATGACAAAAGGTAGAATGACAAAAGGTAGAACAATCAAAAGGTGGAATAAACAAAACGTAGAACGTTCAAAAGGTAGAATTACAAAAGGTAGAACGTTCATAAAGGTCGAATTTTTTTATTTTTGAGAAAGAAAAATCCCCTTTTCAAGTTTACGTTGTGGAACAAGAGGATGGAGGTTAGGGAGGATATTCCTACAACCAACAACTCAAACGAGGCCTACAACAACCAGTGGAATCGGTCAACTGAGCCGAATGCCAGTCTCATACGTGAAGAGTCCCTGTCGAGAAAAACTCTCCTTGATTCAGCCAGTGGTGCAAACTGCACTGAGAACGCTCGCAAACAAAAACAGAGAGATGAACGTACTAGGATTAAAAACATGACTGAAATGTATAATAATTTCCCTGCACCAGACTATATGAAACAGCTTGCCACAATTATTGGCATGGATTAAAATCATGTACATTTGTAAAATAAAAATTAGTCCTAATAAATAAGAAACATTATTTTTTGACTTTTTTGACATTAAAAAAAAATTAATTGTGAAAATTCTACCTTTTGAACGTTCTACCTTTTGTAATTCTACCTTTTGAACGTTCTACCTTTTGTTTGTTCTACCTTTTGATCGTTCTACCTTTTTTCGTTCTACCTTATGATCGTTCTACCTTTTGTCATTCTACCTTTCGTAATTCTAGGTATTAGTCCAGATAATCTATATTTAAGTTAGCTCAAGGTATTAGTCCAGATAATCTATATTTAGGTTAGCTCAAGGTATTAGTCCAGATAATCTATATTTATGTTAGCTCAAGGTATTAATCCAGATAATCTATAGGTTAGCTCTAGGTATTAATCCAGATAATCTGTATTTAGGTTAGCTCAAGGTATTAATCCAGATAATCTGTAGTCAGGTTAGCTCAAGGTATTAGTCCAGATAATCTATATTTTGGTTAGCTCAAGGTATTAATCCAGATAATCTGTAGTCAGGTTAGCTCAAGGTATTAGTCCAGAAAATCTATAGTCAGGTTAACACAAGGTATTCGTCTGGTCAATCTATAGTCAGGTCAGCTTATGGTATTTACAAATATATTGTCTCAAACTACATGTACATATTGTCCCAAACTACAAGTACATATTGTCCCCAACTACAAGTACATATTGTCCCAAACTACAAGTACATATTGTCCCAAACTACAAGTTCAGATTTCATCAAACTACATGTACATATTGTCCCAAACTACAAGTTCAGATTTCATCAAACTTCAAGTACATATTGTCCCAAACTACAAGTACATAATGTCCCAAACTACAAGAACATAATGTCCCAAACTACAAGTACAGATTGCATCAAACTTCAAGTACAGATTGCATCAAACTACAAGTACTTATTGTCCCAAACTACAAGCACATATTGTCCCAAACTTCATGTACAGATTGTATCAATTTTTCAAATACATATTGTCCTAAACTACAAGTACTGATTGTCCCAAACTACAAATAAAAGGTATCTCAATCTACAAGAACAGATTGTCCTAAACTTAAAAAAAACAAGTACAGATTGTCCCAGAAAACAAGTACAGATTGTCCCAGAAAACAAGTACAGATTGTTCCAGCCATCAAGTACAGATTTTCCCAGACAACAAGCACAGATTGTTCCAGCCAACAAGTACAGATTGTTCCAGCCAACAAGTACAGATTGTCCCAGACAACAAGTACAGATTGTCCCAGACAAGAAGTACAGAATGTCCCAAACTACAAATACAGGATGCACCAAAATCTACAACTTAATTGAGTTTCTCGCAGTTGACAATCACCGGATGTCTTAAAAATGTAATTAAAACTTAGAGACTGTCATAAATATATAATCTATAAGATGTCAAAACTAAAATTGTAATTAAAAACTTTAATTTTTAATCGTTAATATTATATTACTATTATATGAATGAAGTAAGCGTACACGTCAAAAAGCTAAATAGTTAGTTAGGTTAGAATCTAAAAACGAACGATAGTTTGTCATATCATGATATTTCCCAAATATATCCAATTAGACCATGAGTAACCGAAACTATTTAGTTTTTATATAGAAATAATGAATCATATGTTTTTCAATACTTTTTTATACGGAGATACGTATTTTGAAAATGAATAGCATATTTCTTGAAACACAGATTTTTCAAAATGTAGACTACCATTTTTGTACCTGTTTCGTTTACTTTAGTCTTTTGTCTCGTGCTCAATAAATTGAATTAAAAATCTAGAAAGACAAGTAATAACAACAATTGTAGGGATGTTAACGTTTTCATTTTGTTGAAAAACGATCGTTTCGTTATGAAAACGACGACGAAAAATCAAAAAACGAAACGATCGTTTTTTTTTTAAATCGTCTTTTCGTTAACTATCGTTAACGACGACTCTTCGTTAACGATCGTTAACGACAGAGGAAACCGGCCTGAAGGGAATTTGTACTTATCATTGAATAGTTTTTAAGAAAATATCTAGAAGTTTTAGCTTCCCCCACAACTTTTTAACTTCATGTCTGTCAGACGACATTCAATAAAGTTGCATGTAGTTTTTTTCAAAAAAGATCGTTTTCCCAAAAACGACCGTTTTTATAAAGTTCGTCGTTTCGTTTATGATCGTTAACATAATTTTCAATAACATCTTTTTTTCAAAAACGATAGTTTTTTCAAAAGCGATCGTTTTTAAAAAACAATCGTATAAAAAACGGTCACAAATCGTTTTTGAAAAACGATCGTTTTTCGGAGTACATCATGAAAAATATAAGCCCCCTCCCATCCTTTACATATTTATATTTTTTTAGGAATATATTTAACTCTCCTAAACTACTAAAACGGAATACTGTAACACGGCAATCATCTTCTACTAGAAGCGAACCAATGCTAAATGAGGAACTGTCCAAAACAGGCAAGTTTGCGAATGGAGAAAACTTAGGAAAGAATTATTATTGAGACGAGAATCAAAAAAAAAATTAGAAAAAAACCAATTTTTTGTGTGTTTGTCTTTCATGTGGAAACCAAATATTATTTGAATTAACAAAATTCATTGCTTAAAATATCAGAGGTATGTTACGTTGTATTGCAAAGATGATATATCAGAGGTATGTTACGTTGTATTGCATAGATGATATATCAGAGGTATGTTACGTTGTATTGCAAAGATTATATGGATTAGAAAATCAGAGTTTGTGGTAAAAACTCAACTACAGTTTTTAGTTTTTCTAATAAGTAATTCCTATCCTAAGTAATTCTTGAGGTTTAGGACAAACTAGGAACTACACAAGGCTAGAAGATGATTTTTCTAAATCAATAAGTTTGAAAAATATGACGACAGGGGAGGTGTCATCCAGTGTTCCAACTACACCGAACTCTAGAAGAACCTTAATGCCCAGGTAAACTAATGGTTCAGGGACTGTATAAGCGTGATTTCAATTGACCCTTCATGCAAATATGACAATGCTCGATTCAATTATGTTTAATTAGGAATTAGATATACATGTTTTTGTTATAAAAACTGTTTATTTCATTTGCAGTTTCTTTGAAAAAGTGACTTTCATTTCTTGCTTATAAGAAAGATTGGAGAAATTAATTGATTTAACAAATTTTCGAAATAAAATTCGATGTTATTTTCAACACTTTTGCTCAGATTTTGGTTTCAAGGGTAAATCAGGTATTGTCATTGTCAATTACATAATACATATAGTACGTATTACGTCACCAGAACTTCAGCCAATGGCAGTGCAGTATCATTGTCACGTGATACAGATGGAAATCACGTGACCAGCGTATATAAATATTAAAAAGATACCGTTGTGAATTGGAAAAGCTACTGTAAAATGGGGGGGGGTCCCTCAACTTTACGTTAACGGTCTACAGTGTTAATTTTGATTGTATTTTGATTGTGTTTTGGTTGTTTTTTGGTTGTATTTTGGTACAAAGTCTGATTATGCGTTCAAAGTCAAAATAAAAAAACGGTTTATTCCTAGAGAACGATTTTTGGACCCCCCCCCCCCCTCCTATCAATTTTGTACATGGGTCTGACAAGAAGTGTCTTAACTTAACCTAACCTGTGGCCGCAGCGCTCGGCCCCTAGCCTGTCCTAGCCGCACCGCTCGGCCAAGAAAGTGTCTTAACTAACCTAACCCGTGGCCACAGCGCTCGGCCCAGAAGGTGTCTTAACCTAACCTAACCCTAAAATAATTAAAAATGAATAATAATAATTTAGCTGAAATCATGTACAGAATTGATAGGAGGGGGGGGGGGGTCCAAAAATCGTTCATCTAGGACAGACACTAAAAAATCTGAGCAGCGTTCTCTTTTTTATTTATTTATCTTTTCACAGGATCTTATTCCGCTTTTTACGTTTTAAACTGATTTTAATATAAATAAGAAATTGTAATTTGGGATTTATTAAATATTGGTATTGCGCTGTTAAACCTTTTTAAAATAAAACTATGAACTCCTTGAAAGTAGTTATGCCAAAAATATTGTTCCTTTTGCTCCGTACGTGATATTTTGAAATATATATCTAAAACTTCTTATAAAAATCAACCCAAAAAATAATGTTTTCATTCCTATATCTTTGCAACATGGTTTCATACACCTTTGACATTCAACTTGCAATAGCTTTTTTTTACAATTTTTAAAGTTTTAGAAGGTTCCATTTTAAGAATAAGTTTGCTTTGATTTAAATGCAAAATGTGCAAACTTTCTATTCTATGATTAAAAATTTACAAATGAAACAATTGTTAAGAAACAATAGTTTTTGGTTCGTTTTTGAATTTTGCATATAAAAACTTCGCCTATAACTAAAAGAAAAATAAATATTCAGAATACACAATTTTGAAATTTGTAAATCTTCTCAGATACAATTTGGTTTCTAAACAAACACTCTAAAGTATTAACCTGAGTCGATGAATAACAAATAAATTGTAGAAGTCCCTGCGGAGTTAAAATCTTTAATCCACCTCCCAGTCCACTCAGAAGTAAATTCCAGTTCCAAATGGAAGGTCCCTCCTTTGATAATGATATGGGGGGAAATGGAATTCAAAAAAGTTCTACTCTGCTAGATCCGTATCAGGTAATATCTTATACTTTGCTTGTCTGTTAGTTTATGAACGACTAAACAGATCGGGCCCAAAATTGTTGAGGCAACTGACATAATCTCAGGGAAGATTCATGTTTGTTCAGATTCACAAAAATCTGTCTCCATAATCTCAGAATTTTGGTTAAATTTTAAACATACAGAAAAAAGTATTATTAAATCAAAGGAACTTTTTTGTTATTATTTTTAATAAATACAAAAAGGAGATGCTCACAGTAAAAATATTTATATAAAGAGTATTAAGGTGGTAACTTTTGAAGGTGCTGATTTAAGTTGCATCAAATGAGTTTAACCGGTCAATTATATCATTTTCGTCTTTTCAAAAGTAAACCCTGTCTCAGTTGGGTTAATTAAAAAACTACCTTAATTGAAAAACTAAGTTAATTAAAAAACTTAAGATTCCAAAGACTATTTTTAAAAATAGTTAGAAAATACAAAATTTGTGTAAAACCATAGTTTTAAATTCAGTTTAAACCAGAACTTTGGAGGCACTGAGTTTTATCAATGTAATGAAGACGACTTTTGTTTTAAATTTTGATTTGTATCAAACTTTCAAACAGCATGGATACACAAAGTTACGCAAACAATTAGAAGCTGTCAAATAAAAAAGCTTCTCTTCAATTACTTTCAAACTTTTAATATGAAAAAAGCTTGTTTACAATTAAAACTTAAAAAGGTTTATATTAATTATTCAACTAAAAAAAAATATCTGCATCTAGAGATTGGCATTGTTTTTTAGCATGAAAGAAATTTTTGTTGCTTGATGGTGTCGTTCAGGAAAAAAAACGATTGACGAATGACGTTTATCTGTAAGAAAATTGAAAAACTAAAAATTAACCATTTAAAATCTTTAGTTTTTTAACTACACGAAAAGGTTTTCCTGAAAATATTTTAAAAAATATTGTTTTTTTTTTCAATAAACTAACAACTTTTTGCGATCTAACTTTTAATAAAACAATAGTTTTTACTTAACGAACGATTTTTAATAAAAAGGATGATTTTATTATATTGAATAACAGTTTTACTGAACGAAGTATTTTTACTGAACGATCGTCCAGTGAGAAAGCGAACGAAATCAAACGAATGGGTCGTTAAAAAACGATGAACTAAAGAAATAAAAAAAATAAACCGAATGCTCCCATCTCAAAAATTATTATCCGTAGGTTTAGAAAACGACATTTTATAAATTATTTCGATGTCTCTGAAGATCTATGTAAAATTTTACTAAAATATACAATTTATCATTTATAATTTTTGTAAAATAAAATGGTACGATCGGCAAAGTTAATAATTTCAAATCTGTTTTCTCCTTTCTCCATCTACGCGTCAGCAGTTTCTCTTTTTCTTGCCTCCCTTTGCCCGTCCATTTACTTTTGAAAAAATGTTTACGAGTTTTTGCGCCATTATAAGACAGTTTAGGATCACCCTTTCACTGTATAGATGTACCCCTCTACTTTTTTGTTTTGCTTAATTGTAATTGCAGCCTCAGCGCTGAATATTTTGTCTACCTTCATTGACTATGGGTAATCACTTCTTGTACTTCAAGTTATTTTCTTTTTCCAGCGAGGGAGCAATAGTTTCCCTTCTAGAACCGCATATTTTTACTATCCTGTACAAGGAGGGTTGCTATTCAACGAAGGATAATTCAGTTACCCTCTAAGAGGTAATTTAACTAAAATATATTTTTTTTCAGGATATTCCGTCTAGGATTCCTTCTCCAACTTTCTCTCATAAGGTGAAAACATAATTGCACATATGAGCCAGGATGCATGTTAAATAACCCTATAACGATTAAGAGAGGAGTAGGGGAGGGATTACTTCTTTTTTTCGTTTTCGTGAAAAATAACCTCCCCCCCCACACCCGCAATCTTTTTTATTCCAAAACAGCCCCATTCAGAATAGGGTCAAATAATTGTCGTTTAAAGAGAAAAGTGGGGAGAGGTGTACGTCCGCCTCCCCATTAACAATTTGGGACACAAATAATGAAAAGAGAATTGGGACACCTTCTTGTCCCTTAAATTTGATTCTGACTATGTATTGAGCATAGTTGCCACTTATTTATTAATTTTTTCATGTTCATTTTCATTAATTCATTTATTTATTTATTCATTTATTCATTTATTCATTTATTCATTTATTTATTTATTCATTTATTCATTTATTCATTTATTCATTTATTCATTTATTCATTTATTCATTTATTCATTTATTCATTTATTCATTTATTCAGTTATTCATTAATCCATCTTACTATGCATAAACTATTAAATCATTAAATCACATATTTTAAACAATTATTAAAAAAACTAAAATTTAGGGAAGTCTAAAACTATCTCGTCCATCCACCCCTACATCTCCTATGTTCGCTAAATTATTCAGTAATCGGTATATGGATTATCAAAAGGTGAGTGTTTGGAATATTAAACAAACTTTAGAGAAAAAAAAAAACTGAAATATTATTATCAAAGACATTAAAAGATTTAAAATGGATGAAAATGCTTTTATTCGGAAATAAATATGATTTCTGATATAAATATTGATATGTATCCATACTTAAAACTTGTTATTAGTAATAATGCAGTTTTTCAGCTGTAGTAGTTTTAAATAAATTCTTGAATTAAACGTTATGCAGAAAATTCAAAATGCTCTTTTATTACAAAAATATGAAAATTTTGGTAATTCTTGCTTTTCCTATTTTTCGCTTCTAAGAACATAGGTAAATTAAATTTTTTATGTGATCTCCATAATTAAACCAAAGGACAAGAGTCTTTGCCATAAACTCTGATTTTCTAATCCCTATATTTTTGCAACCTACTGTCTGAAATCTTTGAGATGAATTCTGTTGAATTGAAATATCTAAATTTGTAATATCAATGGTTTACACCATCAGGTTTTGCAAAGATAAAGAAATCAGACAATTTGAGTTTGTAGCAAAATCTCATTTCATTAAAAAAGAGTCAATAAAGAGCACTCTACCTCTCCCTCTTCTATCCTTGTATTCTAGGAGGGTGCAGAGCACTCTACCTCTCCCTCTTCTAACCTTGTATTCTAGGAGGGTGCAGAGCACTCCACCTCTCCATCTTCTATCCTTGTATTCTAGGAGGGTGCAGAGCACTCTACCTTTCCCTCTTCTATCCTTGTATTCTGGGAGGGTGCAGAGCACTCAACCTCTCCTTGTTCTATCCTTGTATTCTAGGAGGGTGCAGAGCACTCCACCTCTCCCTCCTCTATCCTTGTATTCTAGGAGGGTGCAGAGCACTCCACCTCTCCCTCTTCTATCCTTGTATTCTGGGAGGGTGCAGAGCACTCTACCTCTCCTTGTTCTATCCTTGTATTCTAGGAGAGTGCAGAGCACTCCACCTCTCCCTCCTCTATCCTTGTATTCTAGGAGGGTGCAGAGCACTCTACCTCTCCCTCTTCTATCCTTGTATTCTAGGAGGGTGCAGAGCACTCTACCTCTCCCTCTTCTCTCCTTGATGAAAGATTCAGCTCCCGACCTTCCTCTAGGTAAGGTTAAAACATAAAAGGAACTTTAAAAGGAAAGACCGGCAATGTAAGGTAGTTGAACCGAGTATACAGTGTTGTGAAAAACTTCTTTCAAATTCATTTGAGACATATCAAACTTTTTAAAGATCTGTAAATCCTGAGTTTAAGCGCAATTTCGACGTCCAAAACTCCTACTCTTTGGGGGTGTCTCAAATAAATCCGAAAGAAGCTTTCCACAGCACTGCATACTCAGTTTAACCACCTTACATAGCCGGTCATACCCTTTAATCAAAATTTTAATTTACATTAAAGGATGCCTTTGCCCGGTTCACAACGTGACCTGTATCTGATCAATAATGTGATGAAATTGGAATTATTTGGGTTTAAAAGTGTTTATTGTTAAATCCTCATAATTTATATATGTTTTACGGCACTAAAATTGCGCACCTTACTTTTGTAGTGAAACCACAAAGAAACTTTTAAGGTTTGAACCATCAGGTCGCAAAAATTTAGGCATTAGAAAACTATTTTTTTTTGTAAAAACTTATTTCCTATGCAAAAGTTATATAGTAACTTCAGGGTTAAAAAAAAAATTATACTGATAAAATATTTATTTCCAGGCTTTTTGGGCGCTTCCTGCGCATCATCTATTTAAACTTTTTATTCTACCAAAATTTTCTCTTTGATAAAACAAAAATTAAATTTTTGGGGATTTAAAATTTTTTCTGAATTTTCAAAAATTTGAAGTCTATTTTTTGTAATTCTGAGCATCCATAAGCCTTCCCAATGGTCTTGTGAGACCGATTGGCTCAGCCGTTTTGACGTTTATCGTTACAAACAAACACCTACACAACAAGCTAGTATATAGATTTAACCCGTATACTCTAGGTCCTCGATGAACCACCATCTCTCCCCCTTCATATCTCCTTGTCACTCCCCAGCTATACGAGAGTTTAGAAAGAATGCTTCCCCCTCAATGATTAACTTGAAGTCTCCCTCCTCCTCTTCTAGGTATAGAGACGGGCACATTAACCTTAATTTTATTTCTGTGTTCATTCTTCCATGTCGTTCATTATTTTTCGCTTTGTTTAGTTTAGAAATTAATTTCGTTTTTCCTTTTTTTTCGTTTATTACAGGGGCAGCTAACGATATTTTACAGGAGATGGGGAAAAAATTGAACTATTGCGCGAAATTTGTTATCCTCACTGTTGGCAAAAATTTCAAATTCAAAATTTAAGTATAAGAAGGTGCCTGTTCTCTATGCCCCTAATATCACCCATTAAGCCGCCCCTGGCAGTAAAATTACCTTTGCTTTTGATACATTTTTTTGTTAACGGTAAAAGCATTTTTTAATCTGAAAAATATAATATAATATAAATGGAAAATGAACAATTAGGTTTATTACTCACAAAATCAATTTTATTTTGAACGATTGAAAAAAAATAAGGAATTATGAACGAACGAATTATGAGCTAGCGAAATGAAAAAACACCGAACACGCCTATCTCTTTCCTTCAGGAACTCCAGAATATTATCTCCAGCTTCATCATCTCCTTTCAGTGCTACCTCGTCATCCATGCTCTCCCCGGATTCCAGGCACAGACAATTTAACATTAATTACAGAAAATCCTTTGAATTTTTCTTTACCAAGGGTTCCAAAAACCAATTTTTCGAATGCTTTCTTACTGAAAAGTAGTTGTACCGAAATTAATTGTCTTTTCAGACGAAAATTCGCGATTTTTCTAACTTAAACTTCGTAGATCGGGTCGTTATTTTATCTATCCGTCCCAAGGAAAGTAAAGTAACTTAACGTTCCTCTGATTTACGAATCATAGGTCGGTTATGTTGATAAAAATGCATTAATAATTATTTACAACAACTTTACAGGGAAGTTATGGAAATTTTTCTTTACCAAGGGTTAAGTATTGTTGATCGAGAGGAGGTAAAAAGTTAAGTAATAACTTGTTATTTCTGCATATTATTCATTAAAGACTGATTGCTCCCGACCGCACCTAATCCATAGAGACAAGGATTAGAGTATTTGAGTATACGAGCATTCTTTTTTTTTCTTGCTAAATAAAACAGCTCAAAGGGATATGCTGATTTTGTCTCTTATAAACACTTACTGGAGACAAAAATAAATTCACCTACAAAAATACAAAAAGGTATACACTTCTAATCTTGGCACCAGTAGAGTATATTCTCAAAACTGGGTGCCGAGAAATTTTCGCAAAGTTTCTCAGAAATTCCTTTAGAAATTTCCTGTGAATTAGCAATGAATAGTTACTAGCTTTACAGAGAACCAATATGGAGAATTATCTACGAGACTACAAGCATAGAATTGTTGTTAACAAGAACTTCATAGATTCACAAGGAACCGTTGATTCGTAATTTGATATAAGAACTGAGAACTTTTGTGTTTGTGACCTCGATATCCACTGTGGGAACTTTAAGTTTAAGCTGCTTAATCTTTGTATTTCAGTGTTCACTTCAGGTTACATTTTCACTTCGGGATATTAAATAAAGATTAAATTAATTTCAGATTAACAAAGGATCAACTATCAAGGATTGACAATACATAAGTGCACAGTTCAGAAGTGAGAACAGGCTTTTATCTATACATCTAATGGATTAATTCAATTCCTCTCTAATATCTTGTAATGGTTTACTCTCCAGGGTTACCTTAAATTAATGTATCAAGCATTGACCTAATGTTTAAAAGTGCCCATGCACTGGATTTCGAAATCAAACGTTCAGGATAAACAATATCTAAACAAAAATTCCGATTGTTGGATATATTTTCATTGAAAACATAAACATGCAGAAACATGTAGAAAATAAGTTTCAAGAGTTCAAGTAATTGTTCTGGAATTGTAATGTCTCAAATCTTAATTATTCGCGATACTTAATGATGTTAAAAATCTGTAAATGCTAATTTGTTGTTTTATTATCTGTGGCTCCAGGTTTAAACAGATGCAATCTCCAAACCTATCTAATAATGGATCTTTGTTCTCCTTTAACTTCCAGGTATATAATCTCCAAACCTATCTAATAATGGATCTTTGTTCTCCTTTAACTTCCAGGTATATAATCTCCAAGCTTATCTAGTAATGTTCATGTATTGATTTAATTCATTATGTACATGTATTGATTAATTTTATTATGTTCATGTATTGATTAATTTTATTATGAACATGTATTGATATATTTTATTATGTTCATGTATTGATTAATTTTATTATGTTCATGTTTTGATTTAATTCATTATGTTCATGTATTGATTAATTTTATTATGTACATGTATTGATATATTTTATTATGAACATGTATTGATATATTTTATTATATTCATCATGTATTGATTAACTTTGTTATGTTCATTGATTAATTTTATTATGTTCATGTATTGATATATTTTATTATGTTCATGTATTGATATATTTTATTATGTACACGTATTGATATATTTTATTATGTTCACGTATTGATTTATTTTATTATATTCATCATGTATTGATTAACTTTGTTATGTTCATTGATTAATTTTATTATGTTCATGTATTGATATATTTTATTATGTTCACGTATTGATATATTTTATTATGTTCATGCATTGATATATTTTATTATGTTCATGTATTGATTAATTTTATTATGTTCATGTATTGATTAATTTTATTATGTTCATGTATTGATTAATTTTATTATGTTCGAATGTATTGATATATTTTATTTGATATTTATTTTTTCCATAGTAAAGCCAAAAGGAACCATACACGTCTAAAGCAATTTATGTATTTGCAACGAGATCTCGTGGACCTTTGATATTTCAAATTAAAAATTTGAGAAAAACGTTTAGTTTCTTTGCTTCAGGATATTTCCAAATCAAGTAGCATTGGTATGCAAAGCAGTCCAAGACAAAGCCCTAGACTAGTTTCTAGATCTGACTCTATTCCACAGAGAAGAGGTAATTTTAAAAGGACTGTATAGACGTTAGTTTCAGCGATTCTCAAGTTATGTCATGTCCGATTCACAACTTTACCCTTAAAATCGCGTTGTCCGATTTAGAATGAATAAGAGTTTCATTGTTTTTTTTTCTGAAATTGTTTTTTTTTCTTTAAACTGATTCAAAAACAATGGAGAACATATTTTAAATCAAACACTCTTCAAGCTATAATTCATGAACAGGCCCAGCTCTTTTAAAAGAGGGTTTCATGACATTACGAACTGAATGTACCTTACCAATGTCCATATTAAACTTTCTGAGGTGTTTTCAGTGGTATTCCAATAAAAAATTATTTTTTATTATTTAGAGCTGGGTGAGCTGAACCCGTCCTTGTACAGGTCTGTGAGTTTAGATTCCCAGGAGTTCTTTGGGACGGAGGAAGGACCTCCAGGACGGGTTTATATCAAGGTAAGTACTCCCAGGACGGGTTTATATCAAGGTAAGTACTCCCAGGACGGGTTTATAACAAGGTAAGTACTCCCAGGACGGGTTAATATCAATATAACACGGTAATAATCCCCAGGACGGGTTTATATCAAGGTAAAAACCTCCAGGACGGGTTTATGTTAAGGTAAGGACCACAAGGACGGGTTATATCAAAGTAAGGATTGCCATGTCGGTTTATATAAAGGTAAGGACCTCCAGGGCAGGGTTATGTCAAGGTAAGGGCTGCCTGGACGGGCTTATATCCAGAAGGACCTTAAGGACGGGTTTACAGCAAGGTAAAGACCTAAAGGACCTGTTTATATAAAGGTAAGAACCTCCAGGACGGGTTTATATCTAGTTAAGGACCTCTAGGAAGGGTTTATACCAAGTTAAGGACCTCCAGGACGGGTTTATATCAAGATAGAGACCTCCATGACGGGTTTATGTCAAGGTGAGAACCTCCAGGACGGGTTTATATAATGGCAAGGACCGCCAGGACGGGTTTATATCAAGGTAAGGATTGCCATGACGGATTTTTATCAAGCTAAGGACCTCCAGAAGGGGTTTATATATAGGTAAGGACCCCCTAGGAAGGGTTTATATCAAGCTAAGGGCCTCCAGGAGGGGTTTATATCAAGGGAGGGATATCCATGACGAGTTTATACCAAGGTAAGGACCTCCAGGACAAATTAATATCAAGGTAAAGACCTCTAGAAAGGGTTTGTATCTATGTAAGGACCTTTAAGACGGGCTTATATACAAGGTAAGGACCGCCAGGACAGGTTAATATCAAGATAAGGACCACCAGGACAGGTTAATATCAAGATAAGGACCCCCAGGACAGGTTAATGTCAAGGTAAGGACCACCAGGGCAGGTTAATATCAAGGTAAAGACCACCAGGGCAGGTTAATATCAAGATAAGGACCACCAGGGCAGGTTAATGTCAAGTTAAAGAGCACCAGGGCAGGTTAATATCAAGATAAGGACCACCAGGGCAGGTTAATGTCAAGTTAAAGAGCACCAGGGCAGGTTATATTAAGAAGTTCAAGAATTCTCCAAAGAATTACACTTCTCTCTCACTGTTGGACATTTAAATAATTTCTCAAAAAGGGATTATAAGATCGAAGAAACCTTTCAAAAAACTATTATTTTTAGATGAAATACAGCGTTGAAACTGAAAATCTGGACATATTTTTAAACAAAATTAAGTGCTTCAAGAAAACATCTTTACAGGGTTCCAAAGCAAGTGTAAGGTAAAGAGCAAATATTTAAACAATTTTGCAAAATTTTAAATGATTTTTTTAGATTAAAACTTCTTCCTGATGACAGACGTTGCCTCACATCTAAACAGTTGCTGTTTACAGAGGACTCTGCTCTGCTTTTTAAAGAAAACTTTCAGTTTCATGTAGGTTTCAAAACAAATATATTTTTAGACATGGAGCATTCATTTTTATCTCTAATCAAACAATCATACTGAAATCATATTATTTATGTAAATGTTTGCCCTTAACTGCTGTGTTTCACGTTTTTGAATATAAAAATGATTGTTTACAGTGGTTGAAGACAAAAAAATTTGGAAAAAAAGTTTAATTTTTACTTTTTAAAACGTATATGTTTCTATTGGTTGAGGTTTGTGGTGAAAACCTGATTCCTTTATGAGAAGAATTGAAGAATTTATTTTCATTTCTTATTCTAAACTGAAAAGAGTCTAAACTTATATGTCACATACGCTCGTTCAACCGCTACCGCGGGTTTTTTTTCTCCAAAAAAATAAATCATTGTTAAGTTAAAACTTTAGATGTAGAATATTTTTTTATTTGTGTTTATGAATATTCGATATTTAAAAACTTTTAAAATTGTTTCATTTTTCTATTTTAATGAGCAACATCTAAGTAATTTTATGGATACAAAATGTTTATTTTTAACCTAGCACTAAATTTCAATGTTTTTTTATGGAATTTTATTTTTATTTCTAACTTTGAATTTTGAAGGTGAATAAATCTGATCTTGCTAACAGAACACTGGACGGAGAAGTAGAGGTAAAATTAACATAAGTTTGAGAATAAGGTTGAAATGAATCCCCAAAATTGTGAATATAATTATACATTATAAATACAGTAAGAACATGAAAACTCTAAAATAGAAGACGATGTTTAAACTCAAGTGATGACCTAAAATAGTTTAATAAACATAAGACACATCAATTAAGTACTGTAAATAGACCCATTTCACTCAGTATGTCATTATAATTACTTTCTAGGAAAACTTTTTGCTTTGTGATAAATAACATCAAATACATTAAAGTATTGGTTTAATATCGTCTTCCTTTTCCACAGTTGTTAAGTTCTCATTGTATCTTTGAAATTTAAAAATGTTCAAGCAATCAAAATTCCTGACTAAGAAATACACATGATATTTAAATAATATTTCGAAATTGAGGTTAAAAATAGTAGGCAGCGTGCGTTTGGAAACTAAGTTCCTTGTCTTTTTCTCTAAGACAACTTTCGATTAAATATTTAAAATATGTAAACTAATTATCTACTGTTTAAATACAAAAAAAGAGATTAGTTTTATTCGGTTCTATACTTGATCTCCATATCCACAGTGAGCACTTTTAAATTAAATAGAGAATCGTGGGCTCTGAATAAAAAACATATAAATTGCGTATTTTCTGAAAATTCAAAGCATTTTACAATCTACAGCATGTGTTTTATTCAACCTATAATTAGATGAAATCGCGAGGAGATAAAAAGGGAAAACCATGCTACTGGTTCCAGAAGAAGCTGGCAGAAATAGAAATAGACGAATTGACAGAATCTTTCAGTATGACAGTAAGTTTTCTTACACAATAGCATCAACAAATTTGATTCGTTTCCCTTATGTCCATTTGTCAGCCCAAATTTTATTTTGAATAATCTTTTTTGTTTGTTTATTTTGATGGTTATTATATCCATAGAACTGACGAGGGTCATTCCAGACCGAAATATATTTTCAAAAAATGTGGAACTAACATCAATTTTTTTACTCTACCATCACCGATTTTTAAAATGATAGACGATAAACAAAATTGTCCCTAAAAGTAACAGTTTCCATTTTCGATAAGGCAATTTACGAATTAGAAAAAAACTTATATTATTGATAATTATAAAAGCCAAAAGTACTGTTTTCATTTGAAAATTATTTTTCATTTATTAAGTTGAGTGCTTTATTGTAATGTTGAACAAGAGTTGAATTATTGAAACATTATTTAAGATAATTAAATTTTAAATTTAAATAATACTTATTCATTGAGAAATGCATACTATTCTTTTATTTACTACAGTGTGTCCTAATAAACATGTGAATTCAGTGACGAATTCGATGTCGTCTTTTTAAATAATTCTTTGATTTAGTATAGTGATACCTACTGAGAAATCTTTAATCTGTAAGAGTTTCGTCTGCTATGTTTACATTTTGTTTGTTTATGTTTTGACTGCATACAGTAGCAGTATACAAACAGAGTAAACTTGTCCGTCTTCACTGTTCATCTTGCGGAGACATTTAGACACATCTTTGCAGTCGTTTACCCTTCTCATAAAATAAACTCTAGCAGACATCATAATATTATGGCTTTTGAAATTAGGTATTACAATGCTAATTCATAACAAAGACTATGTCGAATTCGTCACTGAATTCCCATGTTTTTGGAACACCCTGTATGTTACACTAACAATTTATTGTTTAGTGTTTAAGAGTGGATATGTTTTCAACTAAACCAGTTGAGCTGGGTGGAGGGATAAAACTAAGAACATCCCTGGCGTACAACCCAGATCTTGAGAGATTAACGCTAGCTGTTTTTCAGTGTCAGGTTCGATATCTTTTCATTGATATAGTACACAATGCACTAACATTTTAGAATATTATTTAATGGGTAGAAGTAACGTTACTTTAAGTAACTCCACAGAAAAAAATATTTGCGAGTATAGAAAAATCCGAGGCCGAATTTAAAAAATTTGAGACGCGGCTCATATATGGTTCCACTTAAAATTGTGTTAAATGTTTCAGATTTGAGCCGGTGCCAAATCAAAACCGGTTTTTGGCGGATTTTAGAATCAGCTCAAATTCATTAAATTCGGACACAGTTTAATATCTTATAATTCATTCTTGCATGCTTACACTTGTGTTAATCAGGGTTCAAGGCATGAATAAATAAATAAGTCTACTTTAAATTGGGTTTATATTCCTGTAAAGAGATTATTCATTTATCTAAAAATACTCTATAAAAATTCCATTTCTTAAAATGATGACTACTAAAAGAGGGTAAGTAGTCATAATTACCGCTTGAAATTGAAATACCCAATATTTTCGTTCATGAAAACACATCAAGGTTTGGCAATGAAAACAAGTTATTTGGGGAATCGTTACATTTTAATCTAATTGTTAAAACTGAAATTATAAATAAAGTTTTAAACTTTAGGGAATCAAGGACGAAGAAGATGAACCCTTGGACACCTATGTAAAGGTTATATTTGTTTTATATTCATATACCCGGCCCTTGAATTAACTATAGATAACGCCGCAAAAAAATACTTTTTATCACCTCATTGGGCAAATGATGTGTAATTTTCAAATTTGTAAGCAAAATTTAAGATTTAAATTTCTGATTTTTTCATTGCAATCATAAAACAATGATTCAATTTTACATGGCATCCCTAAGATTGCAATGTCGCAATAAAACAAAGATTAAAATTGCAAAAATCAACATAGTGTTACCCTTGAATCTTTGAAACCTGATGTTGTTAACATTTGCATATCAAGCTTTGATTATTAGATCTAACATAATGAATAGTTTGAAATATCTAAGGTCTATGATATTATTATGCAAAGAGTTGGAGATTTGAAATTTAGAGGTTGTGTCAAAAACTGTATTCTTAATTTGCAAAAGTTATAACAAGTCTATTATTAAGCGGAAGAAAAGATTAAAAATTAAAAATAAAAAACTGAGAAATTTAATGACGTAAAATTTTCTACATAACGGACAATTTTGTCCCTTACATAATCCTACCTAACAAATAATGTATTATTTTGAAATTTGAGATGAATAGTTAAGTTCTATTAATAAACGTAAATTTAGAAAAAGTAATAAAAATTCCAATTTTCAACTTAACTTTCAAGTTATCCGATGCAAATTGATACTGAATCGGCCAGCTTATTATGCTAATTTAAATAATCAATAACCAATAATTTAAAAACCTGCCTGTCTTCAATCTATAGCTGATTTGATGTACCGGATTTGATGTACCGCATTTCAAGTACCAGATTTGAAGTACCAGATTTGAAGTACCGAAATTGAAGTACCGAATTTGAAGTACCCGTTTTAAAGTACCAGTTTTGAAGTACCGGTTTTGAAGTACCGAATTTGAAGTACCGAAATTGAAGTACCGAATTTGAAGTACCAAATTTGAAGTACCGAATTTGAAGTACCGAATTTGAAGTACCGGATTTAAAGTACCGGTTTTGAAGTACCAGATTAAAAGTACCGGTTTTGAAATACCAGATTTGAAGTACCGAATTTGATGTTCCGGATTTAAAGTACCGGATTTGATGTACCAGATATGAAGAACCGGATTTAAAGTACCGGATTTGATGTACCAGATTTGATGTGCCGGATTTGATGTACCGGATTTAAAGTACCGGATTTGATGTACCAGATTTGATGTGCCGGATTTGATGTACCGGATATGAAGTACCGGATTTAAAGTACCGGATTTGATGTACCGGATATGAAGTTCCGGATTTAAAGTACCGGATTTGATGTACCGGATATGAAGTACCGGATTTGATGTACCGGATATGAAGTACGGATTTAAAGTACCGGATTTGATGTACCAGATATGAAGTACCGGATTTAAAGTACCGGATTTGATGTACAGGATATAAAGTACCGGATTGTACCGGATTGACTTACTGACAGCACTAGCAAGTTGTACAAATAGACTTTTAAGGTAAAACTGGACAGTTAATCAAATGCACAAAAAATGTAACAATACAAATAAAACACTTTAAGAGACGACTTCTAGTCTACTATCTGTATTTTTAATTTATCTATGATCATATAAATTATCTCCTTCTAGTGTGGAGACTTAAATGTTGATATTTATAGGTTTCCCTCACCCAAAACTTGAAAGTTGTGAAGTCCAAAAAGTCAGACCTTTCAAAGAAAAGTAACAGTCCGTCTTTTGACCAAAGATTTGATTTTAAGGTATTTATAAAATACAATATAATATAGGTTTCACAATATTTAATTAATTATAGTTTTCTCTTGTTAAAAATGATTTGAATCAAAAAAAAAAACACGTTTTTATTTTATTTTTCAAGGTGGAGAATAGCAATCTTCAATGCACCTCCATTTTCGTGCATCTGAAAATAAGCAAACGATCATTTAAAAGAGGTAATTTTTTAAAAATCATAAAAATTAAAATTGTGTTATTTGTAATAGTTAAAGGGACTGTAAGCGTAAATTCAAGTGCCTCAAAATGCAAAGATTCTCAACAGTGTCCAATTGAAACCATTATAAATAATGTGGAGTAAATTGTTAAAATTGATATTTCTTGATCAGACAAATCTTTTCAGGATACCATTGTGAATCGGGCATAACCATATAGGGTCACTTACCCCTATAAAGGCTAGGGGGTTTGAATCTATGTATAGTCTGGGGGGGGGGGGCGCCAAACGCCTCGCCAGCCTGTTTAGGGTTAAAATTGCGCTTACCTGTGCCTTGAAATTAAAAAGTGAAATTTCATTATTATTTCTTTTTGTAATTCTTACGTTTACAATTTTACAGCTATATTCTAAATAATGATCAAATGAAGATTGAATCACAAGGAGTTAGGAATTGAGTCTGAGGCAAAAATTCTAAATTTGTAATCCCTGTATCTTTGCAACCCGATGGTTTAAACCTTCAATATTTTGAAATTATACTATTTAACCTAAAGGAATTCATATTTTTAAATATATTATATCTAAGGTCTACGACATTGGGTTGCAAAGATGTAAGGATTAAGAAATCAGAGTATGGGGTAAAAACTAAATTTCTTTCTTTTATGTAGAGCGCATTCTGGGACAAATTATCATTGGTCCAAAGATGTTTGCACGTGGTTCAGGACTCAGCCAATGGGAGCTCGCCCTTGGAAGCCCTAAAGAACAAATCTTTATCTGGCATGAACTGTCAAAACCCACCACCGTTAGCAGTAGCGTATAAACGTAATAGGTATTTTTTCAAAGGCATTCCCCAGACGGCATTCTCTCCGGAGTATTTTTAACTTGTCACACAGCATGCAACTGTGCAATTTCCCAAGTGGCAACTTTCACGCAGATTTCGGCCCCAAAGCCTTTCTAGAAGCAGCGTTTGGCTCCTTCACATCGTAGTCGCAGCGTTGGCGCCTCTGAGGGCCTAACCTAACCTTTGTGGGGTTGCCACTTGGGAAATTGCACGTTTGGGAAGTTGCTTCTTGGGAAATAGTCACTTGATTTTATAGAAACGAAGAGGTAAAGCTTACTTCAGATGTACACAACCAAGGTTAATTGCTGTTGCGTATCCTCTGCGTACATATTGAAACCAGTTCTCTCTGGGCGGTGTTTGTAAACAAGAACAGATGCATCAGTGCTCTCAAGGGCGGATCCAGCTTTTTAAAAAGTGGGGGTCAAAGTCTGAATAATGTAAGGTATAGTACCGAGCGAGGGGGGGTGCAGGGGGGCTGATAATTTTGTTAATAGAAATAAGCATCAAAAGTGAGTATTTTAAGTGCTCAAAACAGAAAATTACTCTGAAAGTATGTAAAACTGTTTCTACCTTGGAGCTGCACTTACAATATCTTCACTCAGACATACTACTCTATAAAAAATTATCTTTACATTTCCATTTGCATTACATAATTTCTAATTACAATTTTACCTATTGTTTAAAATTAAGATATTAACTGCAAGGTTCAGGGGAAAGAAGCGGGGGTTACATGTGGGCTTCATGGCGGAAATGGATCTTGAGTATACATACATCTAGAGAAAAGGCTACGGCATTTGAGTCGGAAAAATCGTCTTCCTTATATTTTCGAATTTGTGTTAACAATATTAGTGTATTTCCTGGAAAAAAAGTTACAGTAAACTATTAGGTTAGTCTCCAGAAAAGGGGGATCAAAAGATACTCTTGCCCCCCCCCTGGATCCGCGCCTGAGTGCTCTTCTAGTATCCAAGGAGGATAAAAGCATTTAATTTTGATAATGATCGGTTGTGTATATGTAAGGGCTTACCTCTTCATTTCCTTTCTCTATTATATATCCTTTTAAATAGTTTTTTAAAGTTAAAATCTAAACTCAGGGTTTTTGTTTAACAATACTCTTTGAAATTTCAAAATCAGTAATCATTTCGATCCGTTTTAGTATTTTCTATGACTAGGCTGGTCCTGAATGATGTTGTTGCTATTATTTACCTTGTAATTTATTACTGTAAACATCTCACTTTACATCATGTATCAACCATGTATCTCATATGATAATTGATCACTGACCAATATATTAGACTATTTCATTGGAGCCCATACAAAACATATCAGCGACAAAACTTATCACCACAAAACTTATCAAAACAAAACTCATCTAACAACAAAACTTATCAATCAAAACTTATCATCACAAAACTTATCAAACTACAAAACTTATCAAACTACAAAACTTATCAAACTACAAAACTTATCTAACAACAAAACTTATCAAAACAAAACTTATCATCACAAAACTTGTCCAACTACAAAACTTATCAAACTACAAAACTTATCAATCAACAAAACTTATCAAACTACAAAACTTGTCAAACTCAAAACTTATTTAAATAACTACAAAACTTATTTGTCAAAACATTTTTAAAAGTTGTTACAACTAAAACTTGACTTAGAATTTATATATATAAATCATTATTCATCTTTAAATAAGCTGGCAATATTGAACAGATATGTGCTCAAGGGTACGCTATCAAAGCTTGCACACATAACCTTTAGGTCTTGTTCTTGTTCTCTTTGTATTTGTTGTACAGATGATTTTCATCTTCCTTAAGTAAGTTTGTACCCTTCTGTGAGAGAACAAAATTAGCCTCCATCTCGGTTGAAAGGGGCTGGGAAACTGATAGTTTACCGAATTTTTTAGTAAAATTCGCGGATATTTAAAAAATTGTTGGAACATTTCCATGATTTGAAAATTTAGATTCATGAATTTTATTGATAAGTTTTAAGTTTGATATGTTTTGTAGTTTGATAAGTTTTGTAGTTGATAAGTTTTGTAGTTTGATAAGTTTTGTAGTTTGATAAGTTTTGTGATGATAAGTTTTGTCGCTTATAAGTTTTGAAAAGATAAGTTTTGAAAAGATAAGTTTAGTGACGATATGTTTTGTATGGGCTCCATTTTATTGATCATCATTGATTATCACTTCACTTGTTCATCAGTTCAATTAAAAAAACAAACTTGCAAGTACGCCATTTTAATTTATAAAGATCAACAGATTAAAAATCCAACGTCCCAGGCTGCTGAACAGATAAGCTGGAACTTTTCGTTTATTAGTTTTAAACTATAGAGATAATGATCATTACTCTGTGTAATTCATTATTTGATATAACTAATAAAATCAGTGAAATAAATTATTTGACTTTTATTTGTAAATTGTAAAATTTATAAAATAACTTTATTTGAAGTAAAAAATGTAACGGTCAATTTGAATATTTTTCTTTGTTTGCGATTTTCTTAAACTTATTGTAAAACAAAGCTGTAAAGTATAAGCATATCTCTGTAAATAAAAATCATAGTTAAATAGTCAAGGTTGTAAAATGGAAAATATACTCCGTGTTTGTCAACTATTTTGTTTTATATAAAAGCCATGCTGGTAAATTAATATGTATATACACGAAAATGTAAATTTGAAGATATTATACCAATAATGATGTTTGAAAATATACATAGACAAATATACAAAATTAGCCCATCTTCACACACGCTGGAAGTTATTCATTCTTTTTTTTTAATTGATTAATTCTTATTGATTTTAATACCAACCTATTAAATTCATTTTAAGACATTTAAGTATATTGTCTATCATAATTTTACGAAAATAATTGTCATTCAAATTGACCTATCCAGTATCAGAGTTCAAAATATTGAGATTTAAAAAAATGTAAAAATCAACCATCCTTAAAATATGATATTCATGGTAAGGATTTGAGAAAACTCAATCTATATACACAAATATTGTTAGAGACTGCAGAAAATAAACTTACTATACAGAGATTAAGACTAAATTAAAATAGCTGGAAAGGTAAGGGGGAAAATGTATTGTTTACAGTCAAATCAAAAATATTATCTTTTGTATTTTCGTAAAATTTTTTGAAAAAAACCATAGGTGCTGAAGCTGTATTTTGTCTTTTTTATCAAAAAAATTGCATTTTTTTAAAATTTCGAATTAATTTGCGAAATTTTCGCATTTCAGATTTCCCTAAAATTTTGCATTTTTTGCGAAACAGATTAAAGCGAAATTTCGTGAAAAATTCAAAATTTTTCGCATTTATTCGCGAGCGAACGAAATTCGAAAAATGCGCTGCAAACTCTAGTCGCAACTCACAACGAACTTTTGAAAAACGAAAAACGTAATGGCAGGATATGATTGTTTTCTTGTAAAAAATATCATAAATCTTGGGCAACATTTACTTAATTTTTAAGGGGGGCTTTGGATATATATTTACTCACTGACGGTCGTTAACGAAGACAAATCATTAAAGATCGTAAAGATCGTTAAAAATTAATGGAAACGTCAAACTGAAACTAAAAATGACTTCTTTGTTCTTTAATTAAAAACTTTTGAATTTTCTACGTCGTTAACGTTACGATCGCTTCGTTTTCAGAAAAGTGAAAACCATATATTTTAAATGCAATATTGTAAAAAGAAGCTATATCGTGTACGCACAAAAGAAAATAAGATTTCCAAAAAATGTTACAATTGTTTAAATTGTTCAATTTTAGATTTTTCCGATAATATTCGTTTTTGAAAGAATTTTTTTCTGATTAAACTAATGTTTTGCTCAGACTCAAACTTTTCTAATACTTTAATTGATATTTGTAAGTTGGAATTTTGATCACATAGTTTACAATATTTCAAGGTTAAAACTATTAGGTGGCCCATACATGTATGGATTAAACGATTAGAGTTTGATGTGAGTATCTAGTTGGTTTAAGTCTTTAAACGCCTAATCATTTTGAAACTTCATTCTTTGATTTGTAATCCGGCGTAAATTTTGTTAAAAGAGAAATAATTTTAACAATCTAAAAATAATTTTTATTCTTTTGTTCTTGTTCTTTTCAGTTCTTTTCAGATTTTAATAATAATGCGTAAATAAGTTCAACAATGAAACTCAAAGGTAATCTATTAAGTCTTTACCACAAACTAAATTATTAATATCCATATATCTTTGCACCCCGATGTCATTTGATATTTTAAACTATGAATTTTGTTAGGTCAAATATTTGAATTTTGAATTATCCATAAGGTTGCAAAGACATAGGGATCAAAAAATTCGAGTTTGTGGCAAAGACTCAATTCCTTCAACAAGATTTTATAGCTACAACTACTGTAGCAAAACTTTGGGGCCTAATGTAATATAAACGTTGTCATTTGTTTCCAAAATAACTACGCAAATTCTGTATTGCGATTAACCCATTCCATGTTCGTGGATAAATTTGATTGAGACTCTGCTGTTATCAGAGGCCTAAGTTAGCTTGACACCAAGCTTTGGTACTCACTTACACCTTATGAAGGGGGAAATTGCCTGTGTAGCAATTTCAGTTGGACTGTGTGTCCTTGATAACTGGGGAGTTAAGTCAATCCTGTTTGAGATTTGGACTGTGTGTTCTTTAGAACTAGTGAGTAAAGCCTGGTTGAGATTTGGACTGTGTGTCCTTTAGAACTGGGAGTTAAGCCTGGTTGAGATTTGGACTGTGTGTCCTTTAGAACTGGGAGTCAAGCCTGTTTGAGATTTGGACTGTGTGACCTAGCTTTAGAACTGGGGAGTTAAGCCTGGTTGAGATTTGGACTGTGTGTCCTTGATAACTGGGGAGTTAAGTCAAACCTGTTTGAGATTTGGACTGTGTGTCCTTTAGAACTGGGGAGTTAAGCCTGGTTGAGATTTGGACTGTGTGTCTTTTAGAACTGGGGAGTTAAGCCTGTTGAGATTTGGACTGTGTGTCCTTTAGAACTGGTGAGTTAAGCCTGGTTCAGATTTGGACTGTGTGTCCTTTAGAACTGGGAGGAGTTAAGCCTGGTTGAGATTTTGAATGTGTGTCCTTTAGAACTGGGGAGTTAAGCCTGGTTGAGATTTGGACCATGTGTGTCCTTTAGAACTGGGAGTTAAGCCTGGCTAAGATTTTGACTGTATGTCCTTTAGAACCAGGGAGTTAAGCCTGGTTGAGATTTGGATTGTGTGTCCTTTAGAACTGGGGAGTTAAGCCTGGTTGAGATTTGTACTGAGTGTCCTTTAGGACTGGGGAGTTAAGCATGGTTGAGATTGGATCGTGTGTCCTTTAGAATCGGAGAGTTAGTACATGGTTTATCTTGTTAACGAATAGACCTGCATAGATACGTCTCGAGTAAATTGTTATGGAGTAGGAATTTACTACATTAAACATACAAATAAATCATGTAATTTGATGTTCATGTTCATATTTGAAGGAACCAGTCATTTAACTTTATTTTTTCATCTCTATATCTTTGCCATCTTTAAGGTTTAACATTTCATACTAAAATTATTTGTTTACAATTATTTGCTAAAAATGTTAAGTTTGTGATCATAAAATAAAAAAATAATATAGTAAAAAGTTTTGTTAAAAGAAGGACTAGGGATGATTTTAGTCCTCCTACCAGTACTGGTTTCCGCAGTAACTCCAGGTTAGAACATTTCAAACTAGACATGAAGGGAGGAAGAACAATTTTTGCAACATTAAACTGGTATGACTTTGTGACATCGTAGCTCCTCTAGTTTTAATTTTACGCTCCAGCATGAGGAAAGCAAATGTGTTTGGTTATATATTAAAATTTAAAACATTTTGGTTCTTTGCTATAACGCTACTTACGCATAAACCAAGCAGTATTTTGCCAATTGCCTCTTTAAAACTTTAGCTAGAAACGTGCATTTTGCAATTTTAAAATATATTTTTCTTGGGCTAAAAAAAGTAAAAGTGAGTAGGTGAGGTAAAACCTCAATATCCAAAGGCAAAAAACCTTGCGACAAAAGTCGAGGTTGTCTAAAAACTTCATTCGGCTTACGCAAAAAAAGCTTAAGCTTACAGAAATTTTGCATTTTCTTCTCAAATTGTGAACACGAAATCTTTTGGAAAGTTAAAATTAAAAGTAAAAAAGGGACTGTAAGTGTAATTTCGAATGACTCTCAATTCAACGATGTCATTACCCGATTCACAACCTTAATTTATCCGATCAATAATTAGGAAGATATTGTTGTTTTTCCAGGCTTAAAACAAATTTAACTTTGATAATTCCTGTATGTTTTCCTCCAGTTTAGAAATGCGTAAATCACTTTTGCAGAAAAACCACAATTAAGAATAATTACTTTTCAAAATTCTTAAAATACCGACGCCATGACAAACTCCTGAAAGACAAACTCCTGAAAGACAAACTCCTGAAAAGACAAACTCCTAAAAGACAAACTCCTGACGAGACAAACTCCTGACGAGACAAACTCCTGAAAATAAAAACTTCTGAAATACAAACTCCATAATATCAAATTTAAAAAAATGTTTCACAATTTATATTTAATCTAGCCGCAGCGTCGGCCCAGAAAGTGTCATAACTTAACCTAACCCATGGCCGCAGCGCTCGGCCCCTAGCCTTTCCTAGCCGCAGCGCTCGGCCCAAAAAGTGCATCTTAACTAACCTAACCCATGGCAGCAGCGCTCGGCCCCCTATCATGTCCTAGCCGCAGTGCTCGGCCCCCTAGCCTGTCCTAGCCGCAGCACTCGGCCCAGAAAGTGTCTTAACCTAACCTAACCTAACCCTAAATAATAGAAAATAAATAATAATAAATTTGCTGGTTATTCTGATCATTGTAATACTTTGCTGCTTGAAGCATATTCAAATTGCTAAAGATTGAGAATTTTTTTAGGATATTTGCGAATTTTTTCTCCTAAAGTTTATGAATTTTATCATATTTCATTCAGAGAAAATTTCATAATTTCAGGAGTTTGTCTTTCAGAAGTTTGTCTTGTCAGGAGTTTGTCTTGTCAGGAGTTTTTCTTTCAGGAGTTTGTCTTTCAGGAGTTTGTCATGGCACCAAAATAACCATGTATTATTTAGGTCCAACAACTGTGACTGAATACCTGGACTCCTGTTATTGCCCAGGTTTAGCTTTCATCATAATTTGTACACAGCTTTTTCACAAACATTACCGTCCTATGGTTCCCCCACAGGGGGACGTTCAGCTACTTGACATCTCTTGGGACAATTAAATAAGATATTCACCCGCTCTGCAAACCCGCTCTGCAAACCCGCGCTATAATCTCAAAAGACGTTAAAATTGCCTTTTTGTAAAACTAAATATTTTACTTAACCATGGGTTCCCTTAACTCTCCTGTAAACTAGTTGTGTATAATTTATAGTAAACTTTGTTTTTATTGAAGAATAGTTGAATTACTGTTATTTTGGGTGGCAACATCTTCAAACGTTCAACTAATAAAACAAAACAAAAATTCATAGAACTTTGCAAGGTTTGATTTATTAATTAACAAATCGAATTTTTAGATCTTTTAATTTATGAATGCTCTTTGCGAAGAAAAATTAGATTTATGAAATTAAAACCTGTTGATAACATCTTAGGCTACGTACATTCTTTAGATTTTTATAAAATGCCCACAATTCTGTGCAGCTAAATTTCATTTAAATCCACAGAGCTTAGCTTTTAAAAAAGTGTGTTTTATCAGGAGACCCAAAGTTTGTGACAGATAGAAACCTGTTCTTATCGATGACACGGCTTCGACATGAAGCTGATTCTGGGAATATGCCTGGAGTAGATCCTCTTGCAGTTTATAAAGCTCCAGGTATTCAACCCTTTAGCCTCATCTCAGCCCACTATTCAAAATCTTTGGCACTATTCTTAAATAATAAGACTCTCAGACCCAACTTATGAATCAGCTGACGGCAGCTAGTGATGGACAGCTGCTAGCTCTTTATAGGCTCGACGTGAGGAGTTAGGTGCAGTGAACAAAAAACCGAACTTGGTTGGTTGCAGTGGTAAATTAGTCTTATTATGTATTTATGCAACCTGATTACGAAAACCTTTGTTTCAAACTTAGATGATTTGATCTAACATTATTCCAGATTTGCGTTACATTTTGAATAGAGAACTCAGCAGACCCACATGATTGTTCTTATAGCTTGGATTTACCCAAGTAACAATTTTGCGGAAAATCCGCGGAAATTCCCAGGAATCTTTCACAGGAAAATCCGGTGAAAATGTCGACAGCTTTTCCCAGGAATTTCTCGTAACCCATTCCGAGGAACCAGGTCCAAGGAATTTCTTGTAACCCATTCCGAGGAAATTCTCGTAATTCTATCCAAGGAATTTCTTGTAACCAATACTAGGGAATTTCTTGTTACCAATTCTTCAGAAAAACCAGTGAAAATTTGTAGCGAAAAGGTCTTCAGAACCAAATCCTGGGAATTTCCTGGGAACTATTCCCAAGATTTTCTCAATAGTTCCTTAGGAATATCTTGAAATATTCACTAACAAAAGTAGTGAATAACTTAACAACTATATTGCCCCTCCAACTTTTTAGAAGTATAACCGTCTTCTTAAGTCAGAATGTTATAGTCGTTTTTGATCTTACTGAGGTTGTCATGTATTTTGTTTATTCAGACAACTAAATTGTCAAGAAAAAATAAAAAAAATGTTATAAAATTTTTAAATATTTTTTTAAAAGATGGTTTTGAAGTAAATTATCATTTTGTATCAATAAGGATGCAAAGAAAAAAAGATTTAATTTGAGCAGTGCATGAAAGAAGAGAACATCAGAGACACCTATTGGTGAAATACGGAACTTGAAAATTCTGTGATGAAGTCCTGAGAATTTCTCAGGAATTTCCGGAGAAATATTCCTGAGAAATTCTTAGGAATTTCTTGAGAAAAATTCCTGAGAATTTCTTGAAACTTATTCTCTTATCTAATTACCCTGAAAATACGTAAACTTGGTGAACAAGTTCTAAGAATTTCTCAGGAATTTCCGGAGAAGCATTCCGGAGAATTTCTCAGCAATTTCTTGGTGTGAAATTCCGGAGAAATTCCCAGGAATTTCTCGAAACTAATTCTCTTAATAAATTCCCCTAAAAATCCGAAAACATGGTGACCAACTCCTAAGAATTTCTCAGGAATTTCCAGAGAACATTTCTGGAGAAATTCTGAGGAATTTCGTGGGGAAAAATTCCGGAGAATTTCTTAGAAATTTCTCGAAACTGAGTCTCAAAACTGTGATCCCACAAAAATCTCTCATCTTGGGGACCAATTCTTGGGAATTTCTCGAGAATTTCCGAGGAATCAGTTACAGGAAATGATTCTCGAGAAATTCCTCGGAAATTACTCAATGAAAGTCACCACGGTTGGAGAATCTGGGGAAATTCCTAACTTTTGTTACTTGGGTATAATTATAGGGAAAAAGATGGGCGGGGAAATATAACCACTAAAAATATAAAGACCAGAAATATAACCGTGTTTTGACCAAAAATATAACCACCAAAAAATAACCAACAAAAAATACAACCAACCGAAAATATAACTACCCAAAATTTGACATTTTTTAACCAAAAATATAATCATTTTTTTCTCACGAAAATAAAACCTTTCAATCATAAATATGACTAGTTTTTAACCAAAAATATGACCATTTTTAAACCAAAAATACAACCATTTTTGGACTAAAAAAACCATTTTTGAACAAAAATATAACTTTTATTTATGCGTATTTGTGATTTCTTTGAATTTTATAAAATAAAAGCCATAAAATGCTCATTCAATAAACAGAAAATGTTCTAGTTAAAAAAAGGAACTTCGCAATATACGAAGAATCAGTGTAATATATCTATCTCAACCAGTAAGTTGTAACATTCCTTTCCTCTTAGAAAGGTTTGGACACTTTTGGTCGATATATTTTTAGTCAAAAATGGTTATTTTTTAGTAAAAAATGGTTATATTTTTCGTCAAAAACAGTTATATTTTATTAAAAAAAAAATTATATTTTTTGTCAAAAATGGTTATATTTCCAGTCAAAAAAGTTATATTTATTGTCAAAAAGAGACATATTTTTGGTCAAAAAAAGTTATATTTTCTGTCAAAAATTTTTTATTATTTGTAAAAAAAAGTTATATTTTGTTAAAAAAAAAGTTATGTTTTGGTTAAAAAAAGTTAGATTTTTGGTCGAAAATGGTAATTTTTTTGGTCTTTTTATATTTTAGTCAGTTTTATTTTTAGTCGTTATATTTTGGTAGTTATGTTATTAGCGTAATATCTCATACTCTTACTTTCGAGTTCTCTGGGTATGACGCTGGATTCTCAAGCAATAGTTCTGAATATGTTTAGTTGAAAGATTGCCTGGAATACCTCCACTCTCTCTTCTTCAACTCATGTTTCCTGGACAAGGAGATACTGAGTTGCTAAGTCTGACTCAGGAACAGCTTCTCAATAGGTAAAGAGAAGAAAAGTAATGTGTTTAAAATTTTAACTCCATATTGGAAAAATATCAGTCTTTAATAAACAAACTTAAAGATTAAGAAGATTGCCAAACAAATTAAACTTGAACATTTTAAGGAAGCAAAGATCAGAGTTAATCCTTTTTAGCCCAGAATGTTTAATAAAGGCCAAAAATGCTAAAATTTCGTATTTGAGCTTGTTTTACCCTAATCCTTCCAAAAAAATGTGTTTCCCATTTGAGAATTTTTTTCTGGAGCACCCTAGGCAAGGGGTTATCAACATATTTATAGGAAATTCACTGCAATAGCTGGAGATTTTGTTTTTATACTTCTTGCATGTTTTGATAATTTTTTTGGCTGATGTAAAGCAAAAAACATCCTGCATACCTGATTTATTTTTTTCTTTACAGAATGGGTATAACCACAACTGTGGCAACAACCCTAGCAACAACTTCAGCAGCAACAGCAGCTGCGTCAACAGCCTCAACTACAGCTGCTGCTCCTGCGGCACGAAAAAAACGACAAGCTGAGAAAGCAATAGAAGAGTATATTTCAAGGTACTGCATACAGTTTTGACTGTTATTTCCGTGCAATTCATGCATCAATGCACAAAAACATCGAAATTTCGTGCAATTTTTACTCGAAACGTAAGCAAATCTTTGAGCAATTTTTGCACAATTTTCGTGCAAAATTTTTTTACTGGAAACCCTAATCACTATTTCCTATTTTGTCTCATTGTTTACAGCTGTACACATGCAAAAATATAAAAAAAAGAGATGCATCTGGTGAATTTGCAATGCTAAGTATAATGCCGACCCTGACTAGGGTTTCCAACGTAATAGATTATTCTCTTACGCGTAATTACGTGCAGTTACGTGTAATAATTTTCATTTCGTGTAATTTCGCAAGATTACGCGTAATTGGGGAAATATCCATTTCGCGAAATTACGGCGTAATTTCGCGTAATTTCTACAACGTAATTTCGCGAAATTTCGTAATGATTATGCGTAATAATGAAAACTATAATTACGCGTAATTACGGCGTAATTTTGCGTAATTTCTACGACGTAATTTCGCAAAATTTCGTAATAATTACGCAACTGGAAACCCTACGACCCTCTTGTTTCTTTCCTGAATATTCTACCTTTTCCAGATCTGATTGAACTTGAAAATTCATATAAGTTTTAACATTCTAATTGATATAGTTCAGAGATTGGAAAGTTTTTTTGAATGTTATTATTCTTGATCCTGATAGTCTATATGGGCACTTTCCTTAATAAAAGTTATTCCTGCAGGGCAAAACCACCACACAGATGTAGGATTGAAGTAAGATTAATTATGATTAATTAATCTCAAGGTCTGGAGATCAGTGCTTGATCCAAAGACCCTAGTATTTCATTTCAATGGCACATCAATACTTCTCTTTCCAGGTACAAAAGAGCTGCAGCCTCAGGTGCACCAAAGGAGGGAATTGATATGTTAATTCCACGCACCGTAATGACAGGCAAGGTTTTGTAAAGATTTAAAGGAAAATGTAGAATACATCCGTTATTAGGTATGCTTATTCAAAAGTTAGGAAAATTGATTTCAGCAATTGTTGAATCATGAGTTAATTATGCTACCACATAAAACTTCAGAACATTTTCTAAAACTCTTTGTTGTCAAGAGTGTGCCAAACACTGTGAATTCCCCTTTTCTAGGAATTCATCCTAGTGGTTCACCAAGAACTGATCCAGCAACTGGGTATGCCTGTAACTGTCCTTCACCAGGGATGAGGTAACAGAAAACTTTACATCATTATTATTGTTTTTTTTTTACTTTTCATGAAAGACCATTTCTAATCGATAGTTCATAAGTTATAATCAAAAGTTTGAATATTCAAATTTTGTATTAAATTTGTAAATTTCATAAATAAATATATTACCTACAGTAAAAAATTTTCTATTATTTAATTATAAACAAAGAATGCATGTCGAGGTTGTATCAGAAATTTTAGACAAGTCAAATATATTTGTACATTCCAGGCTTCGGAAGACTTTACAATTAAGAGATTCAGTCTGGAAACCAACATTTAAGGATCCAAAGAGTCTGACTTTCTTAAAAGAAAAAAAAGTAAAAGAGGATGAGGTAAATTCTAAAAAACAAAGATTTTGGATTTTGAATGTTAAAATACAAATTTTGCCTTTTTAGTTGAATTTGATGCTTTCCAAAAGCAATCTACTACTGCAGGCTGGACTTGCTGGACTTACAGTTCTTTCAATAGAAGTAGGTTTATATTTTATCAAGGATCAAATATAATCTTTATCTTGAATTAACCTGATAAGGGCAAGGGACTCTCATCTATGGGGAGGGGGGGGCATGTATTGCTTTTTTTTCCATACAACAACTTTGGTAGAGTGAGTTTTCAATGCATTTTTTAATAAGGTTTCAAATATTTAAAAAATTTTTCTCTTCTTTATTGGGAAAAATATGAAGTGCAGGAGTGACAGCAAATTACCCCCCCCTCCCCCTCATAACATCCCAGGGATAATCAAATATTCTATCAATTGCAGTTAACCGATGCAACACTGGACTCCACCGGAGTGCTTGATAAAGTTGGGTTGATAGTAGAAACTGAAATATGCTTTGCCAATGAGTACAATTCAACTGTTGCCAGCACTCTTGACTCATTTTTCACAGCAAACCAGGCTATAAATATTGTAAGCAAGCCCTTTACTAATGCAAGTTGTAGCATTCAAGACTTACCAGCAACATATCCTGAAGTTGATTCATTCCTTACTAGAGCGGATCCTGACATTCAGTTTCAAGTAAAAGCAGAGGAAATCAGCAGTGGGCTTTTCGGATACTACAAATGCACAACTTCAATGAAGTTTTTATCTGAAAAGTTTGACCGGGACAAAGATGGAAAAATGGGTATACAATGTAAGAATGGTCAATGGGATATCCATCCAAGTGCAATGCCTACTGTGAATGATTGTATTGAGCAAACTGTTTGTAGTGTTGACACAATAATGGCCAAAGTAAACAGTGGCCTCTTTCGGAAGCCATTAGTCACAAGGATTGCTCCAAAAGAGTTCTTATACCTGACATGTGCAGATCCTGAATCCTATTTGTACAACTCCAAGGAGCCTTTACCAGCAATATTTACCTTGATATGTCAAGATGATGGAACAATGTTACCGTGGAAAAAATCTGCTACCGGAGAGCAGGGACCAGATCCTACAAACACATGGCCATCTTGCAAAACCCCAAACTATTGCTCAAACTTTCCAGAATCACCCATCCCACCTTCAACAACCACTACAACAACAGTAGCACCTAGGTGGGGTTTTTACTCATTTTAGTTAAAATTTATATTATTTTGAATATTTTAGTAATATTACTGGACCTGTTCCAACTAGCAGACTAATCCCAGCTAAACCAATGATAACAAAAGTGAGAGAATTTGATACTTATGAGTACAAATGTGAAGATCCAGATATGGTAGCAGATAAATCAGCATCATTTCTTCTAGGTAATTCATATTCATTTTAAGGTTTTTATCACACAGTACAAATAGATGGCAATGTAGTATTTGTACACTCTCAGAACAGCTGTATTCTTACGTCACAAGTGTCAAGTCAGTATTGTGCCTGACAAAATTATTTATATTAGTGTAAACATTTTAGAATAAAGAGCTTATCTTACAGTGAAAAAAGTGCAATTTAATGTCTTATTTATTTTCTGTTTTTACACTTGGAAAACTATTTGTGACGTCATGTATATTGATCCATTTTCTCTGTTGCCCCCCTAGTTCTCTATAAATGAACAATTTATATATTTAACAATTATTTTGGTTGTTAAAGCAAATTGACCTAATGTGAAAAATAGCAGTGTGTCCATTTTGTAATGTGGTAAGTCAAAACATGTTTGTATCTTATTTAGAATGTCCTGCAAGTGGAGTGTTCCCATCAGCTGCATCCATCATGTGGCCTGTTTGTCGTCCATCTGTAAAATGTACTGAAAATATACCTTTACCACCATTCTACACAGGACTTTTCAGGTAAAAACATAATAATAATGCTTTGTCCTTAGTGGGTGAAGAGAATGTTGACTGTCTGTCTGTTAATAAAGTTGATTTTACTGAACAACTGGTTCGTAATTTGGCCTGTTTGTTTCTTTAACTTATCTAACCACACTCTAAAAAATACAATTTTGGTCTTTAGCATCAGGCATCAAAGTTCTTCTTTCATATTTCAAATTTCTTCTTATCATTACTCAAATTTTGTTAAATATTTTTCAAAATTACAATCTAACAAAACTTGTTAATAGCTTACACATTGTTCTCTCAGCATGTGTCAAACTTTGTTATATGACATCTTTCTTTTGTCATGTGACAGTTTTCTTTCATTGTAATTAGCCGATATTTTAGTTTGTGTAAGATTAAACAAATTTTGATTTATGATCAATCAAACGTTGAACCATCTGCCGGGCTGGCATGGCTCGCACGGCTGGCTGGAGGGGGAGAATCAGCTGATTTTCTAATTAGTGACAGGACAGTTTAGTCTGTTAGCCGACAGCGCTTATACCTACGTCAATTTGATCTGGAAATTTGGAGATATCAAAAAGATTTAAAGGGAAACCTCCAAGAAACTGGAAGAACAAAATTAAAACTTGTTTAAAGCCTATGTACACTCTCTCAAACTAATGCTTGCATTTTCAATGCTTTGCTTGAAAGAGAGTATCAATGCAAAACCAAATCTTCCATAATTCAGACTGCAGAATCTACTTCTACAAGAATAAAATGTTGTCTAAATTTGTGATTAATTGATGTCCAGTTCTTTAAGCTTTGAATTGTAATAAAGTGTATTATAAACAGCAAAACTTATGCTGCATGTTACTTTAAAAATTTGTATTAAGATCTTATATTTCTGCCTCATGTATTTGTATTATAAAAAAATGTGATAGACTTTAAACTTATGATGTTTAAATTTTTGTTTTTATCAATTGCATTTTTGCAGATTTATGCGTTTTAAAAACTAATAAATTGTATGAAAAATTGAAATTTTACATAACAGCCAGATATTTATGTAACAAACTTTGAATCTAGTTAAAACAAATATTGAGAGAATAGGTGGCGCCACCTGTAACAACTTCTTTTGACGGGTCAAGATTCAAAGCTGAATAATCATATAATAAATGATTACATAGTTGCACAGTAAGTTGAAGGGACATCCAACAAATTTTGATGCATGCTAATTTTTAAACCACGCAGTGTCGCTGGTTGAATCGACATGAAACAAACTTTGTGAGATGATAATTATATGGAGGCGCGGCACAGCAAGCGGACAAACACCGGTTGATAGATCATGTAAAAAACTTTGAATTAAGGCGACTGAAAATACATTCAACAAAATTTGACGAATGATTCTACTAAGGTGTATTTGAGTCCGGTGCTCTAACAAATTTTGTTAGATGAAAATTTGAAATTTCTTAGAGTGCATTAACATAAATGCTGAAAATAGTTTGAACATGCCTGGCTCTAGTGATAACTACACTTTCATTGATTCCTTCCATTTTTTTGCCTGTTTCATGGATTTTTATTAGTCGTGACTTGGCCCCAATCAAAGAGTATAGTGAAGTAGTTTACAGCTGCTTCAAGTCAGCTCTCAAACCATCAGATGGCAGCTCAAGTGTCAAGGTATTTCTAAAATATAAAAGTATTTCTTTTCAATCAATAAAGTGTTTAATTTAGGTAAAATGTCTAAGTGATACAACCTACCAAGTACCATCAGTTTGGCCTATTTGCCAGGTAACTTTTAGCTAAATTTTCTTTAATGAGAAACAAGCATGAACACTTTTCAACCTAATCTTAGATTGAAGGCACTAAAAAATGCAATTGTCTTGGAGATCCAGGGGTAACCAATGCTGCAAGCTGTTCTTCTGGACTAGCCAACTGTCCTGCTGCAAAAATACTTGATGCTACTTGCAGAATTAAGTAAACAGAATTTTCAATTAATCCAAATCATAACTTTTGTAAATCACCAATTTGATAGGACAACAAGCTTGAGAAGATGGAGGCTTTTAAATTTCTCTACACTTAAAAATAAAAATAAATGTAATGTTTTGGTTTGACTTTTCCAATCTAAAGCTGTCTCAAAAACCAAATCAGGAATGTAGATTTATGCTTCCTTCATAACTTGTTGCATTACAATAATTGAACCACTTTATATGAACCACTTTTTATGAACACCCTTCCTTACAAAAGATACTCATAGTGGTAAATCTCTGCTGGATAATGATGTTTTGCCCTTGGTTCCATTAAAAGATAGATGCGGAACAACTGATCTTGCAGACCCTAAGCTTGAAAATATGTGCTATTGCATGCAGAAGACTGATGACGGTGTCAGTAAGTTAATAATTTTTTCTGAAATGCACACAATCACATAACTAAAACATAATTTATAGCATTGAAAAGAAAAATCATATTATCTGTTTATTTTCATTAAGCACTAAATTTTCATGGGAATGTCCACATTTCCATACAAAGGGTGTGGGGGGGGCCCTCTGACTTTGTTTTTTGAGATTTCTCTCTGATTCTTTGCATGCAGCTAGACCTGAATTGTGATCTAGTTATTTAATCAAAAACCAAAGTGAGGGAAAAATAATTTTTCTCTTAATTTTTCTGACATTTTTTCAAAAACTTTGTGTTAGGTCCATGTGGGGTGTCTAAAGTGATCAACATTGGGCCAGGAAACTCAATTCTGGATTTTATAATGATTTCCCCTCTCTTTATACTATACCCCCCCCCTTTTTCTCATTCAAAAGGCCAAATGAAGCCTTTTGACTTTATTACTAGAGATTTCTCTGATTTTTAGCATGCAGACCGGAATTGTGATCTAGTTTTTAATCAAACAACAAAATGTAGGAAAAATATTAATTTTTCCCTTTATTTTTCCCGCATTTTCCCGACATTTTTCCAAAACTTTGTGATAGATCCATGATGGGTGTCTAAACTCACTAACTTAAAGTTAGTAACTATGGGACAGTAAACTCAATCCTCCTCTCCTTATACCATTCCTCCACTTTGGAGGGGGAAATGCGGGAAAATGGGGGGGGGGAATGGAATAAGGAGAGGGGGAAATGCAATATAGTCCAGAATTGAGTTTCCCGACCCAATGTTCATGATTTCAGACACCCCACATAGACCTAACACAAAGTTTTTTTTTAAAAAAAGGGAAAATGCGGGAAACATTAAAGGGAAAAAATTAGTTTTCCCCCATTTTGGTTTTTGTTTAAAAACTAGATCACAATTTAGGTCTACATGCGAAGAATCAGAGAGAAATCTCAAAAAACAAAGTGAGAAGCCCCCCCCCACCCTTTGTATGGAAATGTGGACATTCCCCTTTAAATGCCTTTCAGCATATAGTTTAACATGTTTCATAATTTTATTTTCAGAGGATGCTTACATCATCAATTTTCTAATTGTGTCACACCTTTGGGAAAATGAAATGGCTTTTATTTCAACTGAAAACTTTCAAAAAATCAAACTGCTGGTTGAAAAGAACGTAAGTTGCCATTTAAAAAAAGACAAAGCATGGGCACTTGACAATTAAACTCTATTTAAGGTGGATGATTTATTACTAACAAAACCATACTTCAATAGTCGGAAGTATGTACAGAGTAAATTAATAACTGTGAGAAAAGGTCCAAAAATAAAGTGTAAAACACCTCCTAATCCCCCAAAACAAACAGGTAAATTTTACTATACTTTAAATCAAACAATGATTGTTTTATTGTCATTGGGTCTTTTATTTAATCTTAATTTTTAATCTTTAAAGCTTCTATGTAATCAAAATTAATGAACAGTATCTAAATATGATATAATTACCAAACTACTACTAAATTACTTCAACTGTTGGCCACACTAGAATAATGATTTAACTATTGATACTTTGTTTAAACTGTGTTTTGCTGTTCATGACATCTAACTGCTTATTGTTAAACACATCTAAATATGACAATATCATTCTTTCTCAGATCTACTTAGTGTTCTTATGAAAGAGGAACCTTTTATTTGACTCTAAATCAATCACTATTGTAGGTTACATAAAAATAACAAGTGACACTGCTGATGTCTCAGCTGGAGAATTTTTTATGTTTGAATGCAGACGTGGATTATTCCTAGGAAATTTATCATCTAAATAGTGAAACTTGTTATCATTAATCATCAAAATTAAATTTGACTCTTGATTAGCTGATATCTTGGTTACAATTTGTTTAAAAATATCATTAATGATGTAAATATATCAGCATCCTTAAACTCCACTGCACCTTTCGGACTGGAATGCTTTGCAGACACAGCTAATATTCAGGGAGTCTATGATTTGCCTGCAGAAGGATCATGGGAGCCATGTGTACCTGATCCCTCATACATTCCTGGCTGCAAGTCAGATATGTGGCCTAAGCCCACTGGTAAGTCTGTCATTTGGCCCTAACCTACTGCCTTTGTAATATAACTATATAAATAAAATTTGTATTGGTTGTTCTAAAGATTATATTAACAACGTAAAAATCTGTACACTTAAAGGGAGTGTTAGCGAAAAATGAAAGGGGGTATAGGCTTAATGCGATAAAAAAGCGCTCTTGATCACTACTAATTTTACTTCTATCTGTTGCGTCTATAAGGAGAAAATTGTTAAAGACGTTTCGAACCGAATAACTTGGCGCCCATACAAATTCAGAAAATTTCAACATACGAATTAGACAGTAAAAAAATCAATCTAATTTCAAACAAATCATTCAGATATTACAACCTATAGTCATCGATTATCTTTCGCCACATTTGTATATAGTTTATATTTTATAATGTTTTTTAATTAATTTGTTTTGAATTTGATTATTTCTCTTGTCGCTTGCGCAACTATCTAAGAATGCCGTGGACCACTCACATTTTTCGAAATCCGTTAAAACGTTTTCTAAAAAAATAAAATATTATAAAATATAAACTATATAAAAATGTGGCGAAAGATAATCGATGACTATAGGTTGTAATATCTGAATGATTTGTTTAAAATTAAATTGATTTTTTAACGGTCTAAGTCATATGTTGAAATTTTCTCAATTTGTATGGGAGCTAAGTTATTCAGTATGAGACGTCTTTAACAATTTTCTCCTTATAGACGCAACAGATAGAAGTAAGATTAGTAGTGATCAAAAGCGCTTTTTTATCGCATTAACCCTATACCCCCTTTCATTTTTTGTGAACACTCCCTTTAAGTTTGTTTTTAAATCGGTGTATATATTTGGAAATTTCAATTTAGGAACAGACTTAGTCCTTGATAGTAATCCAAGTAACATTCCCATTGGTGACACACTCAAGTTTATTTGTCCTATAATAGCTAACCCACCTTCCACTAAACCCACCCTTAGAGGAATTACAAGCTATGGGAAAACTTTTGAGGTTAGTATTTTCATGTTCTTTTAAAAATAATTTATAACCATGACAAAAATAAGTTTTCAGAGTCCAAAAAGATTATGTTTTTAATAATAAGTTATTTTGCTATGTTATATTATTCAGCTAAGATGTCTTGATGGAGAAGTGCTTGAAAGAGCCTTTTGGCCTTCTTGCAGACCTCCCAAAAAATGTATTGGTTCAGAAGGACCTGAATTTGACACAGATGCTACAGTAAGTGAACACAATCAAAAAATTGAATTCAATAAAAAGGAACCAAATTTAAAAAACTTGAGCTAGGTTGCTGAACCTGTATCTTACATATTCTTTCATCCTTATCTTAAAACTTGTTGGTCATTGACAAATTCTATATTACTGATTCATGATTGAATAATCTCCAGACCCAGCTCAAATTGATTAAATCCTACCAGAGAAAAAAGTAACTAGAAATTGTACTTCTAAGGGACTTGCTCGGTCATATGATGATACCTATGAATTTGAATCTTTTAATCTCAGGTAAAATGTTGACATATAACCATAATGCTTCTTAAAGGGAGTGACCGGCTATGTAAGGTAGTTGAACTGAGTATGCAGTGTTTTGGAAAACTTCCTTCGGATGCATTTGAGATATATTAAACTTTTTAAAGATCTGTAATTCCTGAGTTTGAGCTCAAATTCAACATTCAAAACTCCTACTTTGGGGGTGGATACATTTTCAGAATTAGTTTTTTAAAATATTGAATAACAAAGACATAAAATATAACAATGAAAACAAAATAATCAATTTTAGCATTGATTTATTGACAAATTTCTTTTGAAAAATATGTTCCTAACCATCCAATTGGATTACTGTATAATTTTTTCTTTATTTTATTGAGTACAATATATTTAAATTGGCCTTACTATACTTTGCTGTTTTAACCAGATAATTCTTTAGTTGTTCGGACACTGTGAAAGAAGTTCCTGGAACAGGACAATTTTCTGTAACATGCGGATACTCATCAAACAGTGCATCTGAAACAGCCAACTGGACAATTCCAACTTCATGGCCTGTTTGTCAGTTTAAAGACTCAGAATCCTGTGATCCTGTAAATGAAATTCAAATTCCAATTGATACAGGATTGATTCCTGATACCAATAAATTTATACTAAAGGATTCAGATGGAGTGTTCAAATGTAGGAATACCTCAAGATTGATATACTTTCCTGATAATAGACCTCCTGCGCGAACAATGAACATAAAATGTGGTAGCACAGGTGACTTTATCCCTCCCGAGGTTTGGCCAACCTGCAAATGGCCATCTTGTCCTAACACCAATCTTCCACCAGATAACTCAACAAAACAGTTGCGGCCTGTCATAACAGATCCAACACCCATGAATGAATTCTTAAGATATGTATGTCCTGGAATTAATGTCACTGATAGTGGACCAAGTGTTTTGGTAAGATGTCAAGCATTCACAAATGGATCAGGAGTATCTTATGCCTTCCCTGCAAGTTGGCCTAATTGCAGAGCACCTTTTGTTTGTAGAGCAAGTAGTTTTCCTGCACTTCCAGCTTATGCAAGTAGCTCAGGTCTGGTTTGCCCAGCAACTAATGTCACAGAGTTTTCAAGTGCAAACTGTACATGCCCAGCAGGAAAGATGATGGACTCTAATGTGATGCCTAGATGTGCACAAAATGGAGTTTGGACTGCCCCAACTACGTGGCCTGTTTGTGTTGCTGTTTCTACACAAGCAACAACAGTAGCTGCTGCAACATCTACTGTTAAGGGAGCAGAAGCTACAACAACAGCAAATACTGGAACTACTTTGACAGGAACTGAAATTACAACTGTAGCTGAAACTTCTACTGGTTCCACTGTCTCTGACACTTCTGCTGTACCTACAAGAAGAAAAAGAAGTATTGTAGAATTTGTGTATGACTCAACCAAGAAATCTTATGTTTCGGTAAAAGAGCTTGCATTGATAAGAGAGAAAAGACAGGCATCAATAACTCCCAACTACATTGAAGTGGTGATGGAGATTCAGTTTGCTGCAAGAGCTAATGTTACAGGATTAAGAATAACAGATTTAACAACAGTATTGAGAAACATTACAACCTCCATGAAAGGGGAATTTAGACCTGACAAGTCTGATCCCCTCTACCTAGCCTTAGAAGTTCCTCCTCCTAAACTGGAGACATGCCGAGATTGCATTTTAGTTCAGAGTAAGACAATTTTAGTTCAGTGTATTTAAATATTAGTTCAGATCAATTTTAGCTTAGATTAAGTACATTTTGGTTTTAATTAAGTAGGTTTTAGTTCAGAGGAAGTAAATTTTAGTTTTGGCTAAAGCATATATAAGTTTAGAGCAAGTAAATTTTAATTTAGAGTTGGTAGATTTCAGTTCAGAGTATGTTAATTATAGTTTAGAAGAAGTAAATTTTAGGTCAGATGAAGTAAATTTCAGTTCAGAGTAAGTAAATTATAGTTTGGATAAAGTAAATTTTAATTCAGAGTAAATAAATTTTTAGTTTATAGATGAAGTAAATTTAAATTTAAGTAATGTATTTAATTAATTTTACTTACAAATCTTTATTTCTTGATTACTTTAATTATACAGTTTAAGTTACATATTAAAAAAATGGCTTAGATGGCAGCAATATTTGGATGGCTGCCAAATAAGCGACAAAATATTGTTATATTCAACAACAAAAATCACTTATTTAGCAGTAATACACTTTTTGCTGCCAAATAATCAATTTTTGTTAAATATCAGTAATTTCTTGTTGCTTTCTTGACAGCCATCAATATTTTTAAAACTAAACAAGCGAAATGTATTTATTTCGTAATTTAAATGAATGAAATGATATTGTTTAGGACCTACAACATGTGAAAATGACCTTCTAAGCCTTATGAGAGCTGGTTACTCCAACAATAAACCAGTTGTCTTACAAGATGACCCCAGGGGAGGGAAGAAGGATGTTTTAGAATTGATGGTAAGATGTATCCCTTGCAAAATCTATTGAATGTTATGTATAACTAGCTCAAGTGCCTGGCGTTGCCTGTGAATTATTTTTAAAATCGAATTTAGAAAAATAATTTAATTTAAAAAAAACGATTTTTGAAAAAATATTCGAATTTTTTAAGCCTATTCGGTCCAGCCGTTTGGCCAGCTATAGCTGACATCTAAATATATATGAGAAAAGAGCTTGATCATATAGATTGAACATAGCACTTAAATATTTATATTGACAACATTATCATTGTTATAAGGTTGGAGCAACTGTGGAATTGTATTGTACAGATTATTGGAAAAAACCAAAGAAAGATATCTGGGATGATGACCGGTAATATGATTAATTGAACAACTCCAACTCTAAGTCGTAAAAAGTATTTTAAAATGATGTTTCAAAAAGTATCTTCACAGCAATATGAGATATTTTTATCTGTTGTTAGCAAACAATATAGTTTTCAAATTGTTAGAAAAAAAAACAGAAACCGTTAGTATTAAGCATTAGATATTATTTATTGAGATAAAAATTCAATATAATAAATACAGGGGAAATACGTTCCAAAACTAACACTTGGCCCATTTCTAACACTGAGTGTTAGAAATGAGCCAACTCTGCAAAGTTATCTTTTTCAAGCGTTTATATCTTTAAATCCAAGCCGAGTTAAACAAAACTACCATGCATTTATAAGAAATGGCTAAAACTATTTATTGAAACAAGTGTCAACTCAAATTCATATCAATGTCAATTTTTAAGTATTCACGCACTTACGTCACAAAATAAGAATTTTTGATAATGTATAAAAAATGTAGAATGCAATGTAGATTTACCTAGAAATGCGGAATATTTAACAAATGAAATGTGAAAACTTCTAAATATAATTCAGCAGTTGATTTAAGCTTTATAAGATAATTTTTACTTCCAGTGATTTATTCTGTAAGTTATGAACATGAGTTTTGTTTTGATTTGCGGATTATACTCAAAAACGGGAACACTGGTTTGTCTCGAAAACGCAAAAATGATTAAAATTCAGAATATGTACGAAAATAGAAATCCTGACTGTGTTCTGAAAACGGTCAAGGGTTTTAATATAAAAAGGACTCCTTTTATAAGTTTGATTTAAGAAAATAGTTTTAGAATTTGGAATTGTTGTGCTTGTGATGCTAAATAAAATGTTGGTTATAGTTCATACTATATCGACTTTTACTCTCAATATGGGCCAGGATCCTAAAACCCAATCTTTCAATTTGTGCCCATTTCTAACATGCATTGTAAGAAATGGGCCTGAAGTGTTAGTTTTGGAACTAATGTCCCCTGAAATATTTACATCTTTTTCAGAACTGATGGTGTACTTACAGCAACCTGCCTGTTTACAAGGAAAACATTGGTTTAAACTCAAGTTCTTTCGATATTGAAATAGCCTACTGCATATTTTCTAAACTAACATCTCAAGCGTATCATTAAAAAAGTAAAAAATTCAAAACCAAAGTCGAAAATTTATGATTATTTTCTTGATTATAAAATGATGGTTGAAAACCTAAGACCATTGTCCTATTAGAAAGTTTAATCTCCCCTACGATATCTCGAGCTGGGGAAGTTGCTTGGCAAAATGTCCGGAAGTAAAACCGGAAACTGATTCAACTGCAATACCGGACACTAAACTTGTTCTTAGTTCTGCTTATCTAGGGGTAACCTCATCTATGTATGCATAAAAAATTGTAATCTCTGTGTGTTGGTTTGTTTGTTCCATCATAACTCAGGATTCCTGGACCGATTTGCCTCAAATTTTGATTGGGGAACTTGGGAGACCCACAGGAATTTTCTTAGCTTATTTTTGAGATTTTAAGCTGTGTGGGTTATTTTTCAACGAGAATACCGGACACTAAACTTGTTCTTAGTTCTGCTTATCTAGGGGTAACCTCATCTATGTATACATAACAAATTGTAATCTCTGTGTGTTGATTTGTTTGTTCCATCATAACTCAGGATTCCTGGACCGATTTGCCTCAAATTTTGATTGGGGAACTTGGGAGACCCAAAGGAATTTTCTTAGCTTATTTTTGAGATTTTAAGCTGTGTGGGTTATTTTTCAACGAGAGAAATAGCCATAGAGAATAGAATATATAGAGAGGAATTTACTAGAAAAAAGTGTAAAACGGCCATTTTGTTGTACTGTTTCCATACTGCAGGTGTACTTCACATATTTATGCTATATAACCTGTTGGGCCCTGGAATATCATTTTATAGAAAATCTAAAATTATTGTTAAAAGAAAACCAAATTATGAAATAGGTTTGTTTCATGATTGACCAATGATCATTTCACAGAGACTCTATGCCTTTCACTTTACAAACGATGATTTTCCGTTATAACTATAAATCAAATGATGTTTTTATTCACCTAATTCATTATGAAGTTTATTTAACAGTTTAAAAAATTCGAAATTGAAATGGATAGTCTAGGGAACATACTGTATTATTGTACTCTACTGCATATAATTTGTGAACATTTACATGATTTGTACACTTTTAACTCCCTTTCAGGCTGAAAGGGACTGAAAAAATTCATACCGAGAGATTCTTTTAATTCCTCTCTATATATTCTATTCTCTATGGAAATAGCTTAAATCGTAATTTACGATAAAGGGCGGGTAAACGGTGGGACTAACTATGACTCCCCTGGGTTCTCAAGTGAAGAAAAAAAAACCTAAGTGACTTAAGATGTAATTCTTAGTGGCATGTCTGATTTTTATCAATACCTTTTAAACCTTTATCTGAGTAAAAATGAGGCAGACATAAACGTTTTTTATCTTTTTAAAACGTGGTAACACCTGATAATCACAATCTAAAAATTGGATCTGTACCTAATAAAATAAAATCATCTCAGTCATCATTAATTGATCAAACATAAGTTTAAAGGACATGGTTGAAAATCAGTGATCATGCATTATGAAAAAGTGTCACAACAACGTTTCCAAAGTGTGACATTAATTTTGAGATATCTAAACACTATTGACGTAAAGAGACTATATTCGCAATTTCAAGTGATCTTCCATTGAATCATATGGCATGTCAGATCACGGATGAATTAAATGATTTTGTTTTGAAAACTGTTTATTTTCAAAACAAAATTTTAAGCACTTTTAATCCAGAAAATATTAATTTTAAGCACTTTTAATCTAGAAAATATCAATTTTAAGCACTTTTAATCCAGAAAATATCAATTTTAAGCATTTCATTCCAGAAAATATCAATTTTAAGCACTTTTGATCCAGAAAATTTTAATTTTAAGCACTAATCCAGAAAATATCAATTTTAGGCACTAATCCAGAAAATATCAATTTGAAGCACTTTTAATCCAAAAATATCAATTTTAAGCACTTTTAATCCAGAAAAACGACGTTATCGTTCACAGTTTTGGTCTGATTAAGGTTTCAAGAGTAGGGTTGTAAATCGGACATGGAGACCATTTGGCATTAAACGACAGTCCTTTTTATGTGAATTAAAAGTTCAAGAAATTTCTTTGAATCTCTGTTTCTTTTGAAGAAACAAAATTGGCAGAAAAATTCTGAAAATCCTACAAGTCCCCGTTGGAAATTCAATATATCTTCTAAAGAGAAAATATGCATTGATTGAGGCAAAATTACTTTTCAAAACTAACTTTAATTTTAACCATTTTTCAGAATTTTGAGGAATTTTTAAACATTCTAATTCAGAATATGCAAAATATAATCTATTATTCTTTTTCAATCTCTGATTAAAATTTTTCAAGAAAATTTGTACATCAAAAATGTTGGCAAATTTAGGAAATATTAAAAAGTTTCAATGATTGTTACAGCTTATTGGAAATTTCTTTCAGAGTACTACCATGAAAATCCAGCTTTGATTAGAAACTAAATTTTTTGACTGAAACTTAACAAACTTGGAATTTTTAACCAAGCTTATTTCCCCGATACAATGTTCAGCTAATCCATGATGTTAGTTATGAGATACAAGCTGAAGGGCCCGGCGTTGCCAGTGGACATTTTTTTTTAAATAAATAAAAAAATGTTTGAAAAAAAAATTTCTTATTTTTATTAGCCTATAACACCCCCGGCCACCCATGAGTGTCCACAAAAATTTTATCCCAAAATCAGTCCAGCCGTTAGGCCGGCTATAGGCAACATAAATATATACAAATGTCTTGTTCTATTATATAAATGATCGAACGAACAAACAGAAAAATAGAGATTGCTACTTTATATAGATCTTATGTACAGTAAGAACCAGAAAACTTTGGAATAAGAAGAGGACTTAAGTGTATTTGTTGTTGTTACTAAGCAGATAGTTTTACAATAATTATAAAATTATAAAATCATTTATTCCGTGAAATGAATCTGTTAACAATAAACGCGATTGTTGTGTCTAATAACATTATAAAAGTTACAGCTTGAGTCTAAAAGTCGTCTTCCTGATCCTAAGTTGTCTGATTCTCAATGTATTATTTAGGATAAAGAAACTCAAGAGTTATGGGAGGGCGAAGATATTGCCTACGTTTGTAAAAACAGGTCAATTTATTAAAAACTTGTTAACAACTTGTTAACAACTTATTAACAACTTATTTACAACTGATTAAAAACTTGTTAACAAATTATTAAAAACTTGTTAACAACTTATTAAAAACTTGTTAAAAACTTATTAAAAACTTGTTAACAACTTATTAAAAACTTGCTAACAGCTTATTAAAAACTGTTTAACAACTTATTAAAAACTTGTTAACATCCTTTTAAAAACTTGTTAACAACTTATTAAAAAATTGTTAAAAACTTATTAAAAACTTGTTAACAACTTATCAAAAACTTTTTACAAATTATTAAAAACATAAAAATATTCTGATGGAATTGAGGTTTTACTACAAACTCAAATGTTCAAATCCCTATATCTCAACAACTTGATGGTGAAACCCTATAATTTTTGAATAAACAGATTTACATAACTATAAAGTAGCTGTAAAATTGGATTGCAAAGACGTACAGATTTGAAAATCGGAAATTGTGGGGGGGGGGATAGGATGAAAAGATATAACTTTTTAAATATTCAATTCTAAATCATAAACGATTTAGAATATCAGAGTTCACCATAAAACACAGAAAATTTTTATTCTTTCATCTTTTGTTTACAAGTTTTAATTAAACTAAGAAACATGATATATCGAACCATTGGATGCTATTAAGAATTCTAGTGTAGGGTTTCCAATAGAAAAAAATACTTATTTTCGAAAAAAAATAAAAAAGGAGAATATACCAGATTGATAAAATTCTATTGGGTTTGAAAACTAGAAAATTGAAAAGTTGATGATATCGTCGTTTATTTAGCTTGAAAAGTTGAGGATATCGTCGTTTATTTAGCTTGAAAAGTGGAGGATATCGTCGTTTATTTAGCTTGAAAAGTGGAGGATATCGTCGTTTATCTAGCTTGAAAAGTGACAATTTTATTTATTCTTTATAGCACTGCAGAAATCTATAAATCAGTTTAATTCAGAAACCTCAGTTGAAAATAATCAATTTCCCAGAGAAAAATAGAAATATCTCATTTATTCTAGTTTAGACAAAACTTTCAAGGGTACCGTTGTGAATTGAACATGCAACTTTTTTATCGGGGGGTTACTTAAAATTAATTACGTCCACACTACATTTAGGACGTTTTAATCGCATAGCTAGAGTATCTTGTGAGCGATGTGGCAAAACAATTTAGTACGTTTTAATCGCATAGCTAGAGTTTCATATGAGCGATATGGCAAAAAAATTTAGTGCGTTTTAATCGCATAGCTAGAGTTTCATATGAGCGATGTGGCAAAGCAAATTAGGACGTTTTAATCGCAAAGCTAGAGTGTCATATGAGCGATGTGGCAAAAAAATTAGGACGTTTTAATTGCATAGCTAGAGTTTCATATTAGCGATGTGGCAAAGCAAATTAGGACGTTTTAATCGCATAGCTAGAGTATCATATGAGCGATGTGGCAAAAAAATTAGAACGTTTTAATTGCATAGCTAGAGTATCATATGAGCGATGTGGCAAAAAAATTAGGACGTTTTAATTGCATAGCTAGAGTTTCATATGAGCGATGTGGCAAAGCAAATTAGGACGTTTTAATCGCATAGCTAGAGTTTCATAAGAGCGATATGGCAAAACAATTTTGGACGTTTTAACCGCATAGCAAGAGTATCATATGAGCGATATGGCAATACAATTTATGAAGTTTGTCCGATTCAGAACGGTACCTCTTGTCCCCCAATAAGCATTTTGATCAAGAAGAAATGTTGATTTCTATTCTCAATTTAAAACAGTATGCTTGAAAGCTTTGTGTGATTAGATTTTAACTAAATACCTATATTTTGATTATTTAACGTGATAATTTCTTCTGTTGTATCTCTAACTAGCGCATTTTTTGTAACAGATAAAGTGAAGAAATTTAACACCTTTCGAGTCAGAAAACCGTAAATATCTTACATATTATTGATCAGATAAAGGTTTCAATGGTGCACCGCCATTTTTGCATGCATGGTCACTCACCATTATGATTACAATCCCTTTAATATTTATTTAGTTCCCTTGTGATCAACAACAACCCCGATCTGGTCGCCGTGAAGTATATGTGTAAAGCTGATGGTTACTATCTCACTCCTAAAGGGATTGCTGCAGGGGATCCCTGGCCTATCTGTACTACCAAACCTGTTAGACCACGTATACAGTCCCTTTATATATATTTACACAAATTTGAAATTTAAAATAAAATCATAAATTTTCTATTTTCGTAATGCAACCAACTTAAATACAAACTACATAAAAACAACTACCTGAAATACAAACTACAGATATACAATCACCTGAAATATAAAATACAGAAATACAATCACCTGCAATACAAACTACAGAAATACAAACTACATAAATACAATCACCTGAAATACAAACTACAGAAATACAATCACCTGAAATACAAACTACAGAAATACAATCACCTGAAATACAAACTAAATAAAAACAATCACCTGAATTACAAACTACAGAAATACAATCACCTGAAATACAAACTAAATAAATACAATCACCTGAATTACAAACTACAGAAATACAGTCACCTGAAATACAAACTACAGAAATACAATCACCTGAAATACAAACTACAGAAATACAATCACCTGAAATACAAACTACAGAAATACAATCACCTGAATTACAAACTACAGAAATACAATCACATGAAATACAAACTACAGAAATACAATCAGCTGAAATACAAACTACAGAAATACAATCAGCTGAAATACAAACTTCAAAAATACAATTACCTGAAATACAAACTACAAAAATACAATCACCTGAAATACAAACTACAGAATTATAATCACCTTAATTACAAACTACAAAAATAAAATCACCTGAAGTACAAACTAAAGAAAATACAATCACCTGAAATACAAACTACAAAAATACAATCACCTGAAATACCAACTACAGAAATACAGCCACCTGAAATATAAACTACAAAAATACTACCACATGAAATATAAACTAAAGAAATCAAATCACCTGAAATTCAAACAACAAAAATACAATCACCTGAAATACAAACTACAGAAATACAATTCACCTGAATTACAAACTACATAAATACAATCGCCTGAAATACAAACTACAGAAATACAATCACGTGAATTACAAACTACAGAAATACAATCACCTGAAATACAAACTACATAAATACAATCACCTGAAATACAAACTAAAGAAAATACAATCACCTGAAATACAAGCTTCGTAAATAAAACCAATTGAAATACAAACTGCGGAAATACAACCAACTTAAATACAAACTAGAGAAAATACAACCAACTTAAATACAAACTGCATAAATACAATAAACTTAAATACAAACTAGAGAAATAAAAACCAACTGAAATAAAACCAACTTAAAAACAAAGTGCATAAATACATTCAACTTAAATACAATCAACTTAAATACAAACTAAAGAAATTATAACCAACTGAAATACAAACTGCAGAAATACGGTAGTTTGTATTTCAGAAATTTAGTATAAAAAAGATTTTATATTATCTAAAAGTTGAATAAGTAATTTGGTCCCTGTGAAAAAAATACTAATATAAATTTTCTTGAAGTAATACAAATCTACCTTAAATAATTCAAATATGCTATGAATTTATCATAAATAACAATATTCATTAAGAATGAAAACTATTGTTTATAAATACAAGTTTGTTTTTTAGAAATCAAGGAGGCAATTCGGCTAATGCTTAATAAGTTTGACAAAAATATTGCTTACAGGTGGGATGGTTATTGCTAAAAATCCCCCGAAATTGTATTCGAAATTGTTCCCAGAATATTCAAGATAGTTCACAACAAACCTTTTGTTCAAATATTAAGGGGTTTGAAATATAAAGTACTAAAGAAATTGAGTCTTTGCCACAAACTCTGATTTTCTTATCCCAATATTTTTGTGACACATTGTCGTAGACCTTATAAGTTATATCAAACTTTATATTATGTTAGATCAAATATTCTAAGCTTGAAATACAAAAGGTTTACACAATTAGGTAAATTACATTAGAAAATCTGAGTGACCGGCAAATATATATATATATAAATAATATATATATATATACAAATAAATATCAAATAATAAGAAAATGAATGTTTTAATGTCCAGGCATGCTTTGTATGGTGGAAATATCAAGAAAACTAAAATTGAAGATGAATTGGTTGGAAAATTCTATACGCTTACTTTGCCTTGTGCTGCAGGTGATTATCTGATTATCTAATCCAAATATATTTGCAACACAATGTCGTATATTAAAGATGCTCTAACCATGAATTCTGTCTAGTTTTGAAATATCAAAGGTCTACATCATCAGGTTGCAAAGATATAGATATGTAATAATTTTCAATTCCTTTATCGAATTGTATGTCGATTTTTTACATTTAATGCTTTATTATAAAGAATAGCCCTTTACTCCATGTTATCTAATTGTTTAAAAAGGAAGATAATTGGGAAATTAGATAATTAAGTGGTTAAACAATTGATGAAATTAAGAAAACCAATTTAATTGCTTGAGTTTTATAACTGATGTGTAAGGTTTACAGAAAAGAAAAAAGAACAATTTTCCGTACTTTGAACTTTTCCTCTATTTTTCAAAATAGACTTGCCAAGTTCCAAACAGAAATTAAACGGACTGTCGATTTACATTAATGACAACAATTTTTTTTATATCTTTGTCTCTCATTTATCTATATCCGCAGGTCAATATTGAAGAAAACTGCAATTTAGAGTTATCAAGTTTTAGGGAAAAAATATAAGAATATCACCAATATTGGTACTTTAAAACTGGGTCATTTTAAACTACAGGGTTACCTACAAAGGATAAGACATCAGTGACGACTGTACGGAATTTAAAATGTCTATTTCCTTACATTTATGATTCTCTGAAACTGGAAAATTGCGCGAAATCATTAAAAGCCCGTAAAAAAACTATCGTCACGACCAAAGTCTTAACTTCACTATGTAATCGTCATATTTGAAAATTTTCAGGTTTTCTTTACAGTCGCATTCTTTGTGGGTAACCCTTTAACCGTAAAAAGTCTTATTAAGTTGAAAGTCCCTTTAAAAGGTTGCTGATTCATTGTTTAATAAAATAAATAATATGATTCTATTTTAAATTATTTCTTGGAAACCCAGCTTTGCCTGCAAACTAAACTTTCTCTAAAAGGTCTTAAATTTTAAACCAAGCGTTTAGAACATTCCCGTGTTTCTACCTAGTTCCCCAATCCAAATTTGAGGCAAATCGGTGGAAGTGTTCATACTGACATACATGGAGACAAATAAAAAATTTGCTATGTTTTATCTACACGTTTTTCTTTAGTCTATTGTACCCTCATCATAGTTTGATCATTAAAGCGTGGGTCATTTTCAAAATCCACGTAGCCTTTTCGATCCAAATTGAGGAAGTTATGACAGTTGAAAACTCATATGTCGAGATAGTATTAAAATTAAAAGAAAATTTAAAATTTTGCAATCACACATACCTTTGTTTTAAAATGTTTGAATTACAGATTCATGGATCATCGATGTACATAAATGAATTTTATTGGTCCTTCTTGTTATTTTTATAGTAGTTTTATTCCAAATGTCGTCTCATATGTTTTCGAAACATTTAGCAGCTTTTAGCTCTTCTCCAGTTCGCTATTTTTCACATCAACTTTGGTTGGGGGAACCTTAGGCTTTTAGATTTTCATAAACAATTTTTTTCTTTTGAGACCTTTTTTAAATCACATGGCATGCCATGTTCGAAAAGCAAAGATTACAAATCTGCGAACTTAAACCAGCCAAAATGACAAACTTTAAACTTCCTTAATTTTAGTGATGCAAACTTTTAATTAGTGTCTTTAGCTTGATCGGAAATGTTCAAAAATGTAAAAATGTTACTATATGAAGATCTTTAGTACCTGTGTTTTTTTCTGGGACACCCTGCATACATATTACATATGATTGTTTAGGCTTTATCGCAGCAGTTATAGCTTTATGTTGCTGTACTCGACCTGATAGTGTTCTATGTAAGGTAAAAATGCATAAATGGAAAAAAGAAAGAAAATTTTAATATAATGTTTAAACGCAATATTGTGGGGTTTTAAAGGATTGAAAATAACCAGAGTCTTTTTCATATTGTAATCTGGGTTTAGCGATATTTTCACTTCAATAATAACTTTGAGAGTAAATAGTATCCAGGATTAAATCCTGTTAAACCGAGTTTGCTCGAAAAAAAACTCCCGATCTATAATAGGCAGCTCCTGGTTTAAAGTGGCTAGCAACTGGATTTACTGGCTAGCAAAAAATTGAAATACAATTGATGGACTAAATCCTTAACTTTCTAAAAAGACCATCTTTCAGAATTCAATTGTTGGCTTTTTATGGGCTCATAAAGTGGCTAGCAACTGGCATATATATTTAAAAAACTGTTTTTATTTGAACTTTAAACTTTAATCAATTCTGTCTAACTTTTATCCAACATCATCTTAGATCTGTGATCCGACTATATCTGAAAAACCGACTGGAAAATCTGCTTTGAGGCGCAGTGCTAGATCAGCCAGGTTTTCTAACTAATATCTTACCTTGACTTTTAGAACGTTTCTTACCGGTTCTTCTTGCTGTCCATGCTTGCATTTTCTTATGAAACATTTTTAAAAATAACAAACCATACAAAATTTGTGGATTTTTCCGTTTGCTTTTGCGAATTATTTTTAAAAAATAAATCCTAAATTCTGATATCCCATTACTGGCTACAGAATACAGATGCAATAAACAAATTGGCCGTTTCGGTTCAGCCGTTTATTGTGAACAAACAAAACATGTTAATAACAAGGAAAAATAAAGTCGCTGCATTGCCTTTCTTAAATGGATTTTGAAGCCTTAGCTTGATCGGCAACCCTATTACATTAAAAAAACCTTTATTTTTTACGTCTATAGAAAAATAATATATTTTGTAGAATGAGTGCTCGGAGTACTGCATCCCTGATACCAGATCCAGAGCTAGGAGAGGGAACTCCGGAGGTACAGGGTGTCCCACCAAACATGTTTACTGTTTAATTCTTGAGTTAAAGGGACCCTCCAGACAAAGTAGGCAATGCCCAATTCACAACAGTACCCTTGAAACCTTTATCTGATTAATAATTTGGCTATGCACATGCATTGCAAGCCTATACCTTTACTCTAAGGGCTTTTTCTAGGGGGGGGGGACACCCCCAGGCTATACATAGATTTATACCCCCTAGCATTTATAATATAGTTAAAAATAAGTGTAGTGGTTTCTTATAATATGTAGTAGAGAGATCGAAAGAAGAATGTGGAACATTTAGAAAATAGTTCCAGGGTTCCAGGGTTCCTTTCTACATAGTTTTTATGTTCTTATTATTCATAGGGAGAAAGTATGGACGAAAATCCAGAAGAAAATCCGAAAGAGAATCCTGAAGAGAATCCTGAGGAAAATCTGAATGAAAATACTGAACAACCCTCTGAGGAAAATCAAGAGGAAACTCCAGAAGAGGAAGAGGAAAAAGAAGAAGAAGAGGAAAAAGAAGAAGAAAAAGAAGAAGAAAAAGAAGAAAATGAAGAAGAAGAAGAAGAAGAGGAAGAATAGAGTATTAATCATTAAACCTATGACTTGTGAAGCAGTGCCTTCATTGAATCATTAAAACAATCAATAAATTGAAATTGTTGAAAACCTTAAAAAATAAATAAAAATATGTAAACATTAAATATACATCGTAACAACAATGTATTATCAGTAAATAATCTATGAATATAAAACAGATTACATTTATTATTCAACAATACAGGTTAAAAAGAGTTTATAACATTATTTTGTTTAAGTCTGAAGTTTATCTAGGTGTGTAGTTTGTCTTGAGTTTCCTTTGTCCAGAATATATTTCTTCCCAGCCATCCTTTAGGCTTAAACCTACAAACAAACATAAACTTTACCATTAATTTAATTAAATCAAATTTGTACAGGAAATTTTAGGGAATATCAGTTGAGATCAATTGTTTGCGACACACCACTCAGAATGTTTTGCAGGCAACCGCATTTGGCTAAACCCTCCATCAAAAGTTGCTGTTCTTAAGTTTGCCTTCAGGACTAAAAATCTTATGTTGAGATTTCGTACCAACCTTACTGCACCAGTGTCCTTTTAATCAAGAGTTATTATTTTTTTTTAATTAGAACGAACATTGTTAACAACGTTAACAATGTCTTGTTTTAAACATGTTCTTACACCATCCAATTTATGAAGTTTCAAAAGATTAAATATGTCAAAAATATATTAAAAATATATTAAAAATATATTAAAAATATAATAAAAAATCCTCTCCATTCATTTCGAAAGGATTCCAAATTAGCGGTGTCAAAAAGTTTAATAAAACACCTCCCCCTTCCCCGTCCATCCCCCCTTTTCCTAGCAGCCAGAGGCGTATACAGTAATTGGTCCAGGAGGGATTTAACCTTTCTTCACATTCAAGCCCATGTTGAGGTCTTTCCTGACAGGCCTAGCCCCTGTAGCCCCTCCACTTCTTACTGACAGTGTTGTCACAAAAGAGATTTACCTTCTTGGGACACTAGGTGATGAGGGACAGCTCCGGGATCCATGACGGGACAGGTTCGGGGATCCTGAACCTTCTAGAAAATGTTAAGATAAAAAATAATTATTCTGAATAAAGAATTAATTATTCAGACATTTTCTCTTTTCCTCGTTACAAAAAAATGAACATTTGACTAAAACTTTCAACCCATATGGTGTAAACCTTCAATATTTCAATCTAACAGAATTTATAGTTTGAAATATCTAAGGTCTACAATATCGGGTTGCAAAGATATACGAATTATAAAAACTGAGTTTGTGACCATGACTCAATTACCTTTCACTTGAAGGGTATTATTAATTTGGTGTACCGTCCCGGTTTGCCATAGCAGTATACAGCTTGCTCTAGCTGGTTAAAAGTCGGCCCAGTACTTAAGATGAGCTGAAGTTTAAAATGAGAATATATGCTGATCGTATCTCTAAAATGCACATGGACTAGATTTAGAAATTGGCTCTTTCATTTGACTAAAACATCTAATTTTCTAATACATGAATCTTTGCAACCTGATGGTGTAAACCTTTAATATTTTAAACTATATAAAGAATAAGAAATGCGCATTTGATTTATTTCTTCTTAAGTCTAATGAGCAATGGAAAAATGATTTAGTAACAAATATTCTTTCAATCTGTAGTACTTTTGGGGAATTAACAGAGGTTAATTAGACTTTAAGTACTGTTATATTTTCCAAAACTTTGAATATTTAATTTTAGTTTATGTATTACTCACTAACTAATTGTGTCTAAAGGAAATGAGTCTTTGCCAAAAACTCTGATTTTCCGATCCCGATAGCAACGCAATGTCGTAGAGCTTAGAAATTTAAAGCTATGAATTCTGTTAAATCAAATAAACAAAGCTAATACCCAGGCTGCAGACATACTAGGGCCGTTCAGTATCCTCTTAGGCTTGGGTTAGATTGTTAGGCTTTATTCAAGTTGAGAATTCTTGGGTTGGGTTCACAATAGGTATTAGAAAATTTGAGTTTGTGGCAAAAACTCAATTAATTTAGTTTTTACTTTTCTCTATATAGCGACCACTGTAACATACTGATGATGTAAACCTTTGATATGTCAAACAGAAATATCGAAAGTCTTCAACATTGGGTTACATAAATATAAGGATTAGAAAAGCAGAGTTTGTGGCAAAACTCAATTTATTTGTTTTCTACTTTATTCTAGTGAACATTGTAACAAACCTTGGTTTACAGACGCCCCTCTGCCATCTCTAGAGTTGCTTCGAACATTTCTATTATTGTGATCAGGTCGTCTTCCTTTCATATCAACTTGTCTATCATTCATAACAGGTTGGCTTGTCGCGCTATCAAGTTTTTTAGAATGGCTAACAGATTGCTGAATATCCCTTCCTACAATTCCAAGGATTTTAAATTAAATTGTTTATCTGCTTAAAGTGAGCCCAAAAAGACAATGGATTTGGAAGACGATATTTTAGCAATATTTAGTGTATTTGATCGATGTTGTTTTAAGGCACAGTTTAAATTTTTTGCTAGAATTATTGAAAAACAATTTATTCACTAAAATGGGTTTATGTTCATATTAATTCAAAAATTAGCTGTCTTCCTACTTTACAGTTGTATGGGTCCTATTGTTCATCTTCTTAACAAAAAGATGGGTTTTTTTTCGTTTCACGTTTTATATCTTATAGTAGACTTATGACTGGAAAGTTGAAATATTCCACATTGAAAAAAAGACAATCTGTGAAAATAAATGTGCAATTTGGAAATTTGTAAAACATCTCAGTTTGTTGCGAATACATGTTTTTTTTCGAATGAAAAGAATGATTTTGAGCATAAAATGGATGTTAACTTGGAATTCCTTGATTTATTACACCAGACCCACTGCTTGATAAACTTCTAAAAAATGTTAGGTATATGTGGTTCATGTTATATGCGCTTCATGTTTATATGTGGTTCATGTTAATATGCGGTTCATGCTTATCAGTGGTTCATGTTTATATGTGGTTCATGTTTATATGTGGTTCATGTTTATATGTGGTTCATGTTAATATCTGGTTCATGCTTATATGTGGTTCATGTTTACATGTAGTTCATGTTTATATGTGCTTCATTTTTATATGTAGTTCATGCTTATATGCGGTTCATGTTTACATGTAGTTCATGCGTATATACGGTTCATGTTTATATGTAGTTCATGCTTATATGCAGTCAATGTTTACATGTATTTCATGTTTATATGTAGTTCATGTTTAAATGTAGTTCATGTTTACATGTAGTTCATGTTTATATGTGGTTCATGTTTACATGTAGTTCATGTTTACATGTAGTTCATGTTTACATGTAGCTCATGTTTACATATAGTTCATGTTTATATGTAGTTTATGTTTACATGTAGTTCATGTTTATATGTAGTTCATGTTTACATGTAGTTCATGTTTACATATGTAGTTTATGTTTACATGTAGTTCATGTTTACATGTAGTTCATGCTTATATGTAGTTCATTTCTTTATATGGTTCATAGTTTAATTTGGTTTATGTTCATTTCTTTATATGGTTCATAGTTTAATTTGGTTCATGTTTTTATCTGGTTTATGTTTATTTCTTTATATGGTTCATAGTTTAATTTGGTTCATGTTGTTATCTGGTTTATGTTCATTTCTTTAAATGGTTCATAGTTTAATTTGGTTCATGTTGTTATCTGGTTTATGTTCATTTCTTTATATGGCTTATAGTTTAATTTGGTTCATCTTGTTATCTCGTTTATGTTTATTTCTTAATATGGTTCATAGTTTAATCTGGTTCATGTTTTAATCTGGTTTATGTTTATTTCTTTATATGGTTCATAGTTTAATTTGGTTCATGTTGTTGTCTGGTTTATGTTCATTTTTTATATGATTCATAGTTTAATTTGATTCATGTTTTATCTGGTTTATGTTCATTTCTTTAAATGGTTAATAGTTTAATTTGGTTCATGTTTTATTTGGTTTATGTTCGCTCACGGGGTTCCCTCGGTAAAGTAAAAAAGAACCCTTGGTAAAGTAAAATTACCTTAACTTCCCTGCAATGTAGTTGTAAAAAATTAAATTTTAGATCATTTTATTAGCGGTTAACAATTTTTGGATTGAAACAAGATTAGCGTTTTTATTTCTTTGTACAGAATACAATATTTCGTAACAATGTTATTATTTTATTCCCACGGTGGACTAAGTCAGTGGGGTCGGTCAAATAGGCCTAGGATTATGCCGGGTGCTGTAAAAAGTCTGACGGATAACTATGAAAACTCCCATGTAAGAAGCCATGGGAGTTTTCATAGTTAGCCCTCCGACGGGACTATGCCAAGAAAATTGACCCCTGTCGTATGTTAGTCTGGTTAGGGCGACGTACTGTACCATAGGATCTGGCAGACCGGTACAAACTGGGCAGGTCCTGTTCGAATTCAAATTTACTACGGCCCAGAGTGTCCCAAGCGTTGCTTTTTCATTAAAGATTAAACAAAAGTAATTTTATACATGCTTTCAAAAATTGTATTTTGTCAAAATAAAAATGATAATTTCTCCAACCTGTGGTTAGATTCCTTTCTTGTAACTTGGTTTCCCCTGAATTTGTTAAAAAGACTAGATTTTGCGATCTTGGCACTCTTGGTTCCGACACTGTCATCACTGTAAGTATTAAATACTAGACTCTACTTGTCTATCTTAATTTTTATATTAATTCAATGTTATAATTGATAATCAGTTTTTTGAAAACTTTTAATTGGATTTGGCGGATTTTTTATTCATACAGCGATAACTAGAAAACTCTGGAATAGGAAGTCGACTTAAGATTCAAATTATTGAACTTTGAATAGTCTAATAAACATGAGGCAAATCAATAGTGCAGTGTAAACAGGCCAATTTCACTTAATAAGGAATTGTATACCTTACAAGTACCTTTCTAACAACATCAAATGCACATCAGTATTGCTTTAATGTCGTCTTCCTATTCCACACTTTTCTAGTTCTCTCTAGGTATGTTGTCACAGGTTTTATAAAATTTTTAGTGATACAAATAAAATTATTTCTGTTAACGAAGTTGGTTGGTTGTTATGCAAAGTATTGATGATCCTAAAAAAAGCTTTAAATAGATGATTATTCTGGTTTATTTTTATCAACGTATAGCAGATATAATTAATGCCAATAATATGCCAATTAATGCATTATATACAACTAAAATATATATTTTTTATTAGTACTTTATTTTTTGCTCAGAGTCATTTTATTTAGAGGTTTAGCTAATTTTCATAAATGAAATATCTTAAACAGACGCATGGAATATACGAAAAGATACTTTTAAATTTACAAGATACTGATTATACTGAGATACAAGTATTTGACATGTTGCAATATATCCTTAAAAATACTCTCCTCTATATATAGCGGGATATTCTTGAATAATCCAATAAACAAATGCGTATTTTTTCTCAAAAATGAATAAAAGAATTACTTTTTAATTGTAATATTAAGCATTTACAACTTTTATAAATCCTAGAATAATAAAACTTTTTTAACACTTTTGGCATACCACTTGTAGTCATGAAATGTTTTATTTCAAGTAAACTATATAAAGCCAAGGAAAATAAAAACTACAAAAAAAAACAAGCCAAAGAAATAATCTTAAAGTACAAAAAGATACTTTTTGCTAATAAAACATGGCAAAATAACCATAAATGATGGCAAAATACTCATAATCATAACATACGGCAAATACTGTGGAAAAAAAAATGCAAAAAATGTTAATCACCCTTACGTTAAACTTTCTCTTACAGCCACATCTAGATATGGGCATGTTTTTTTTAATAACAACCATTTTGAGAACAAACTAAATTTTTTTCGATGGTGCCGTTAAAAAAAATAACGATGGACGAACAATTTGTAATTGTTCTAACAATCTTCATCGTTCATAAACAATTTCGTTCGTTTTTTACTTAGTGAACAAAGTTTCCAAAAGATTTTTAAATAACAAAAAATTTTTGTTTTACTAAAAGAACGATTTTTCGAACAAAATTTAAAAAAAAACGATATTTTTTTCAAACAAAACGATTTTTTATAACAAAAAAATTAAGTTTTTGTGATCTAACAATTTTTTTGATTGAACAAACGGTTTACCAAACGATCACTATAAAATGAAAAAAAAAAACGGAATAGATGAAAATGAACAATGATTTTGAGGACGAAAAAATCGTTTTTTGAACGTTTGAAAAAAAGAACGCAATAGATCGTTTACAAACGATGAACGAACGAAACAAAAAATCTAAACGTGCCAATCCCTAGCCACATATTTGACATGTCTAAACATGTTCAGATACTTTATCACCTTTTAGATTTTTCCAGTTGAGTTCTTGAATTCGATTTTTTTGTTCCAAATCTGATGTGTAGTTCTCCACAGACAAGATTCTCATTATCATGTTCTCCTTCTAATCCTTCTGGTAATCCGCCAATCTGCTCATCTAAACTTCTTCCCCCTTCTTGGGCGACTTCTTTTTCAAATATTTCTAAAATTTCCAGATTTCAAGTGTTGTGAACACTTAAAAATTATTTCCTAACAAATTCTTAAAAAATTCCCTTTGTTATCCTTAATCATCCAAAAACCTTCTTTGTATATTATATTATCTATGAGAATTGATAGTTTGAAATATCTAAGAAAATCAGAGTTTGTGGAAGTTTCTTTTTTTTCTTATGAATTGAATCTTAAAAATTTTACTACAATTGCACTCTCAGTTCAACTGTCAAGCAAGTCACTCCTTTTAAGCAATAACCCCCCCCCAGCAGGAATAGGGTTAAGAGCTAAACAAATTACCTCTATTGGCTCGGTGAGCTACCAAGGATGACTGCTCCCTTAGTTTTATGTTGGATTCACTTAAACTTGTTGGAATCCGTTTGAAAATGTTTGTGACCTTGTTGGTCGATTTTTTAATCGGAATTCCCGGATTTGTTTCTTCCATCTTGACTTGAGGTTCAGCAGTGTATAGTTTCCTGTTGACAGCAGTATCGCTTAAACTCTTGCTGAAAATATTAATGTTTGACTCTTCAGCTGGATTAGGTTTAACTGAGCTTTTACTTAAAGATATGACAGAATTCAAAACAGGGTTATCTTGGATGTTCTTTGTTTGGTTGGTTGAACCAAATGCGTTGATAGACAAAACTGGTTTCTTTTCCAGTTTGGTTTTACTTTGATTGGTTAGCAAAGGCTTGTTGGGTTGATTGGATTGATTTGATTGGTTGGATTGGCTGGGTTGGTTTGATTGGATAAGTTGTATGGTTTGGTTAACTGGTGGAGATGAATTTCCAAGAAGATTGCCGGGTCCGGAAAACAAAAACTCTTCTCTTGCAGTCTGCTTCTAAAAAATAATGTTTGTTAAAAAATTTATCTTTACTCGTGTTTATTAAATTTTTCTTAAGGTAACATTTTTAATTAGATCCGAGCATTGTTTTTTTTTTGGACGAAAATATTGAAGAACAATCTTAGAACTTCATAAGTTTATCAAAAGTGCAAAGTGAAAATCTACAGCATTTGATCTCGATATCCCCAATGAAAACCTCTCAAATACTGATTGTACTTCTTGCCAATTAAGAGCACTCTTGAAAATCGTCTTCGATCTTTTAAAGCGTTTGCGACATTTATTTATTACATTTATACTTAAACTTAATAAAACGAAATGGCCTGATTCTATACGAAATCATTTATATCTCAGTTATAGCTATTAATTCGGCTCCAAATGCCATACCAGGACACAGCATTGGCTATCATATGAAGTCCTTAATCGAGGTATAATCTCAACCCGAATACTCAACGTGGTACAATTACTCTACACTGTAATCAAAGCGGAGTTCTGATTCTAACTAACTATTTTGAAGGTTTATATGTTACAAGTTACAGTTAATTTATGTATTTACAATTCCTACGTAGTAATATATATTACATGGTTAAGGCAATCATGTTACATTACAGCATAGTTAAAATAGGTATACATTAAGATGTGTATAGATATAGGATTAGCGAGGATGGATAAAGTAGTTAAGGTATCTTCACACACGTTTAAAAGTTGAATTTACGTATTAAAAGGATGGAAGCTAACCATGCTACGTATTCATTTGAAACCCAGTACAAATGAATGATGGGTTTTTACGTAGAAGTTTACAAACATAGATAGTTAATAATGTACAATGTGGTGCATGTTTACAAACATAGATAACTAATAATGTACAGTCTACAATGCACTGCAAGTTTACAGAATATCATGTGACAGGCATACTTGTAAAATTACGTCTACACAAATATTTCTCTCAATTGTCAAGAATTCGGTTTCTTTTTGAATATTACTAAATATGCGTACACTTACCTTTGTTAAGTTAATAAGACCTGGATTTAAGGTCCCCCGCGCAGATTTTGTTTTTATCTGACTAGTTTTTGGAAAATCTTTCACAGCTGGAAGCTGAGTGGGACGTTTGGTTGGTGCCGATTCTATTTTAATTTCTTCTGCGTTTTGACATTTTCCCACTGAAAAATCTTTCTGTAGATCTAATAATAAAAAATATGAAACCTTTAAATTTTTTTTAAATCAATTGAGTCTTTGTCACAAACTTAAATTTTCTAATTCCTAAATCTTTACAAGCTGATAATGTATAACAAAATTCATAGTTCTAAAATAGTACAAAATTGTCTTCTAAAAATATTGGAATTAAAAAATCAGAGTTTGTTGCAAAGATTTACTTTTTTTACCTTTTGATAAATCAGTAGAAACAGTTATCTGGGAACCTTCATTTTGACTAGTTCCTTCCCTTTAAATAATTTGTTGTAGTTGTAGATTTAAATAAATTCTTTTCAAATTTAACAAAAACAATTACCTTGAATTCACATTTTTGGATTCAATTGGAACCAAAACTCCCATTAGGTTTCTTGTTTTAATTTCAACTAAAATATAATTATTATTATTTTATTATTCATGTGTTCAACAATCAAAAGAAAGTTATCCCAATGGTAATCCCCCCAAAAAAACAATAATGTTTGTCAATTTTTGTTCATAGCCCAATTTTGGAATTATAGTATCTTACCGAAAAGAAAAACAAATATTTTCAAAAATTTAATAATAGAAAAATTTGTTAAACATTAAAAAAAATATCACGAAAAAACAATATAACAATTTTTAATTAAATAATGAAGCCATAAAAAACATGAAAAAATAAATTATTTAAGAAGGAAAATTATTAATAAAATAAAATTACTTAAAATATATCTAAAAATACCAGATTAGATTACAAATTGGAATCTTTATCTTTTTTGAACCTATTTCTCTCAGTCTTGTAATTTAGAATAGTAATGGATAAATATTATAAAGTTTTTACTAAATCTCTCGATTTCCTTTTTTTGTAAGCACTTCTATTATGTGTTTTAATAAAAAATAGAACCCAAATCAACATTTTCTGCTTTTTAAAAATTTTATATTCAAAGAGGAAAATTCTCTAAGATATGTTTTATTTGTAATCTATAAGATAAACTTCTAGCTTGAGATGATTACATTTTTTTAACAAAATTACGGTTCAGACTATTTTTTGACTGTATATATGTTTCACATGTTTTTGTTTAACCTTGTTTAGTAGGAGCACTGATTGTAGTTTTAACTGTAGGAACACATAGCTTTTCTAAATCAACAAGAAAATAATGGTAAAAATATTTTAAATTTCGGAGGAAAAAAATGCCATTTCTTAGAAAAAAAGGAGACAATTGATGACCAAAGGAATTGAGTCTTTGCCACTAACTCTGATTGCCTAATCCCTATATCTTTGAGTTTGTGGTTAACTTAAAATTTCTTTTCATTAAAACTGATCTCGTTAAAATGTTTGGCCATCGTTTTTCTAAGAAAAAAAATCTTTTTATAAAGTTTGTTTTTACCTAAATCAAAAACTTTCTGCTCTTTAGTAATTTGTAGATTCTCCACCTCTTAAATAACATTTAGATATATAATATTTTAGAAGCATGTTTAAAATCATTAACAGTTTTAGGTATATTGCTAACTCGTTTCTATATTCCTAATAACATTCTGATAGTGATTTTGAACTAAATATTTAAAATATAGAAATTTTTCTATATTATGAACAAAATAGTAATGGGTTTTCTAAAAACGTTTATACTAAACACTGAATTGAGTCAGAACTTTTGTTTTGTGAATCTCGTGGTCAATTTCCTTATCCAGACCTAAGGATTGATTTAATTCCTCTTCAATATCCCGTGATAGTCATACGCTGCATCTATGCTCAAATTCAAAAGTGTCCACATTTGATATCGAGACCAATCGCTCAAGATTAAGAATACTCAACACAAAAGTACAGACTTAATCGATGACATGAATTTTAAAGAAGTTAGTTTTAATCGTCGATATATCTATGTAATAAAACAATACATTCATATACATGTTCCTCTGCCCGGCCAAATGGCTGGACCGAATGGGCTGAAATTGTTTGTGGACAATCATGGGTAGCCCTGGGTTGACATAGGCTAAACAAATTCGAAATGTTTTTTTCTTAAAAATTTTTTCCACGGGCAACGCCGGGCCCTTCAGCTAGCAGAATATAATTTTAAATAAATCATAAAGGGACTGTAAGCGTAATTTCAAGTTACCCTCTTTACAACAGTAGCATTTCTTGCTGATAAGAAAGACTTGATAAATTATACAAATGAAACTCTTTTCGATTCAGAAAAAGGACAATATCTTCCTCATTTGATTACATTAAGCTTTTCAGGGTACCGTAGTAAACTTGTAAATCGGGCTATGCCATCGAGGCGCGAAACTACGGGGGCAAGGCCACCCCCTAGTCTGATTAAGGGGGCATGCCCCTCCCTTGAGAAGGCTTGCCCCCCACCTAAATGGGGGGGGGGAAGAAGTCCACCCTGTTTTGCAATTTAGCGATTCAAGAATCCTGACCCAGAGCAAATTTAAGAGCTTTGATTGCAAAATAAAAAAAAAATTGAAGGTTAGTTTATTGAGCTTATAGTTCAATCTATATAGCACTTAATACACATAATACATATACACACAATTACAAACCCCCTTCGTCTCCGAGCCTAACCGCTGTCGTAGATTCTTTGCCCCCCACTTAAATATGGTTAGGGGGGGGGGAATTCCCTCTTACCCCTATCCCCCCAACAAAATGTCTAGTTATAAAATCTACCTTTGTTTTAGGCAGCACGTTCACATTGGGGTTATAAAATCTACCTTTGTTCTTAGGCAGTACGTTCACATTGAGGTTATAAAATCTACCTTTGTTCTTAGGCAGCACTTTCACATTGAGGTTATAAAATCTACCTTTGTTCTTAGGCAGTACGTTCACATTGGGGTTATAAAATCTACCTTTGTTCTTAGGCAGCACGTTCACATTGGGGTTATAAAATCTACCTTTGTTCTTAGGCAGAACGTTCACATTGGGGTTATAAAATCTACCTTTGTTCTTAGGCAGCACGTTCACATTGGGGTTATAAAATCTACCTTTTTCTGTTTTATTTCCCTTGCTTTGTTCAATTCTTCTCTTGTAGTTTTCTATTTTTAACAAGCATAAAAATATTTGGTATTCATAAAACCATATTGTCTTAAATTCTATTTTGGAAATTCTTAACAAAAATCTTATTGAATAGAAAATATTCTGTTTTAACAGATTTTTTATCCCAATAAAAAAGATTTTTAGTTTTAGTTTTTTTTATAAAAATTCCTAAATCCGTTTTTTGAAGAGCTGACACAAGTTCTTGCACTTTTTCTATTTCAGATTTCTCTCTTGGTTCAAATTCTCTAAAAATTTATTTAAATTATATTAACTATTTACATCAAAACTGTATTCTTTTACAGTATATTATTATTTCGTCTATAGTTCAGTTAGTTCTGTATTTTTAGAGGAGAAAAAAGTTTCGTTGCTTACTTTGCAAAACCCATTGTGTTTTCTAAGATTTAAAATATTACTCAGTTTATAAAAGAAATAAAATTGAATAAAAATAATTCCTTTAAAATTCGTTTTAGCCACATTTTTGTATTCAAGAAAATTCTTTGCATTTACATATTCAAAGGTAATAAAAATACGGATATCATTTTAAAAATTTCGTTTGATATCACTGATTATTAGAACTTACTTATTGCAGGCTTTTAGGGCTCTTCGCTTTCCTTTTCCTTTTAAAAATGTATGCTTTTAACCGTTGCTTTCAAAATTGTCACTTTTAATCATACTCAAGTTTTGGCGGATTTTTATTTAAATTGCACATTATCAAAAAAAAAGATTGTCTACATTTGTCCAGGCAAAATTATTAAATTTTGACGGTTCAAAACTTTTCCTGAGGCCATGTGATGATTTAAGTTGACATAAAAAAATCATAAAAAAAGCAAAGTATGTAGATAGATAGATTAGCTTGAAACAATTATCCAAATATTCTACTGAAAAGAAAATGAAGAGGCTAAAACTTATTTAGACACCCGTATAAAATAAACCTGTTAAAAACACTAATTATAATAAAGGACTAACATTAATTTAAAGGAGCCACATTGAGAAAACATATTCAGGACGCAAATTAAGGACGCACATCAAGAATATACATTAAGAATATTTTGTTGTCTACGCATCATTGAGAATAAAATGTTGAGGACGAAATATGGAGAATATATTGTTGAGGGCGCATTATTGAGAATACATTGTTGAGGACGTATTATTGAGACTGCATTGTTGAGGACGCGTTATTGAGAATACATTGTTGAGGACGCATTATTGAGAATACATTGTTCAGGACGCATTATTGTGAATACATTGTTGATGACGCATTATTGTGAATACATTGCTGAGGACGCATTATTTAGAATACATTGTTGGGGACGCACTATCTTTACTTATGGAGGACCCATAATTGATATGGTTAAGGACTCATAAAAGCGTGACATTCATCATAACTTTTAATTATACGATCTTCTACCTTTTCCAATCTTGAGCTGAGCTATCTGTTCCAGTCTTTGCCAGAGATGCATCTATATATGGAGTGCTTGGAAACACGGAAGTAGGGAGTATTTCTCCAGAAGTGAGAATGAAAGGAGTAGTGGGGGAAGGTTGAGATGGTTGGATAGGAAAAGGTTGGATAGGAGTAGGTTGGATAGGAGAAGGATGAATAGAAGAAGGTTGGATAGGAAAATGATGGATAGGAACAAACTGAACTAATCCGTTCGCTTCTTCCTCATCTGTACTCTGTAGGCTAGGAGACCTAAATAATACATATAAACAATATTCATGATTTACCATTTCCTACATAGGAAGAGCTTTTATATACTAGCAATATACTAGCAATCGGAGGCTCAATTAATAGGACAGGGATAGGGTTTTAAGCGGAAGCAAACTAACGCGGGAAAATGCTCAAATTTTCTAGGAATTCCGCATTTTGCCGTTAAAATGAATTTTGCAGAAGCTTACGCAAAGGATGCGCAAAAAAGACGGAGCAAAACTAGATTTGCAGCTGCAACATAATTTTGCAAAAAAATTGATGTAATTGATATTTAATATAAATCATATAAAAAATGGATAATTTTCCATCGCAATTTTAGCAATTCTTAGCATATTTTTGCGTGCAATATTTTTATGTATGTAATGCACAAAAATACGGAATTAGATTTGAAGCAAAAACAAATTTTGCGCAACGATTTTTTCATTCGACTGGAAACCCTAGTTGATATTTATAAGTTAAAAGATTTTTCAATTTAAAGTTAAGTTGAAATCAGTGCTTAGGATCCGGTGGATCCACAACATTTTGGCTCCCTCAATCCGGAACCTCAAAAATATGCGGATCCATGAATTCGGACCCAAGAGGCAACATATCAATAAAACCGGCTAAAAATAACTTTTCGCTTTAAGAACAAAAAAAATTAAACATTTTAAAAAAAATTCTTCAAAAATCAGCAAATCATGAAGAAATGTTCTTGACCATAATCTGAATGTTGAGCTGGATCCGTTTTTTCAGGACCGACGAATCATACGAAATGGGCCCTCACCACTGCAGTTTATTTTATATGAGGTTGAATTTTTTAAAAGTTAATTCTATTTTTACCTTGAGCAGTTAGAAGCAGGAGTAGATATATTGTCCGAGGATACTCTTCTGCTTATCTTGCTTAATCTTAATTTTATTATAAACAATATATTCAATCAACTGTTCTTAACTCAACATGATTTTCCAATAAGTTCATCAACTTAAAGCTAGAAACAAGAACATTGCAGTTTTAAAATGAAAGTGATATGGTGAGATAAACCCAACAAAGCTCTCGAAATGTGCAGTGTAAACAGATCCATTTTACTTGTTACGTTGATTATAAAGCTACCGATAAAACTATTTGCTTTATAACAACATCTATCACCAAAGAGAATAGAATATTTATTAAAGAGGAATTTACTATAGAAAAAAGCATAAAACGGCCGTTTTGTTGTACTGTTACTGCAGGTGTACTTCATTTGTGCTATATAACCTTTTGGGCTCTGGAACATCATTTTATAGAAAATCTCTCACTTCACAAACGATGATTTTCCGTTATAACTATATATCAAATGATGTTTTTTATTCACCTAATTAATTTATTTAACAGCTTTAAAAAATTGGAATTTGAAATGGATAGTCTAGGTAACATACTGTATTAACGTACTCTACTGCGTTTAATTTGTACATGATTTGTGCACTTTGAACTGACAAAATTCATACCAAGGGATTGTCTAAATTCCACTCTAATATATATATTCTATTCTCTTTGTCTATCACACATAATATTTCAAGCGCTATGGGTCTAACCCCTTTATTTTGTTTCTTACCTTTTCCCGTCCTCTGAGGCTGAAAGAGAACCTTTTCTTTGAACAGTGACTAGCACTGGTAGTTCATCATCCTCCTGGTACAACATTTAATCAATATTAATCATGTTAAAGTACACGTTCAGTTAAACAGATAGGTCATCATCCTCCTGGTACAACATTTAATCAATATTAATCATGTTAATGTACACGTTGAGTTAAACCAAGGTTGATTACTCTCGATGCGCTCCAATGTTCAACAAATGTCGTCTAGATGAAAACCGTCGCGAGTAAACCAAATTATTATACAACCTTAAGTTAAATTCGTATTTCATCATTCTACTTGGACAACATTTTATCAATGTTTAAGTACTTATGTTAAGTTAAACAGGTAGTTCATCATCTTCCTGAGGCAACATTTAATCAATATTATTAATGGAAAAGTACGTAGGTTAAGTTACGCAGGTAGTTCATCATCTTTTCACTTAAAAAAAAATAAAAATGTATATCCAACAAAATTTCAATAACAATTATCTTTACTTTTGACAAATATTAACATATGACACATGTTATTATCTCCATTTTTCAAGTTCTTTTTAAATATATAAGTCTCAGTCCTTTAGCTTAATTAATAAAAAAGCTATCAACCATTTCTGATTTTTCTAACCACCGACCCTCCACCCTACCCTATGCATATGCATAAAAAAAATTGAGAAAAATTTGATCACAACTATGATGTTGAAAAAGTAAAAATGTTTTATCGTTCTAATTAAAGCTATTTTTAAGCTATTCAGAAGAAACCACAGGGTTAAAGTCGGTTCTGAACTGCAGGCATGATTCGTGTGACACCCTATATCTTAACCCTATCCCTGTTGGGGTACCAGTTACTTGAAAACCAAGATTCACTGAGGGGGGGGTTGTGCCTCCCCCCCCCCTAAATCCTATGTTTGATGACCAAATATGACAAATGATACATCATTGGAAAGCTATTTTGCTTTACTTTAAGAATCTGCTAGAAAATTGCAAATTTGCAAAAATTGAAATTTTTATTGCAAAATCCAGTTATATAGTAATAACATTTGCAAAAAAATGTTTAAAAATAACAAAAAATACACTTTTGAAAAGTAAAAATTTTTCAAGAATGTCTTTGCAAAACTTGTGCAATCCGCTTTCTTATGTCACAGGCTTGTTAAAAGCTTAACATTATTAAAATCTGACAACTGAAATGGGTCAAAAAAAAAGATTTAGTTTGTTAAATTAAAAAGCAGTTAGTCTGTCTGAGGACCCAGGCAGTTAGTATAAAAGTAAAAATACTGGAAAACTACATCATCACATGCTGGTTTCTTAAATTTATATCAAATTATGTTTATGTCAAAAATTCAACAATCTTTAATCTAGTCAAATTGGTTAAATTGTGATGGAACGTCACAGCTTTCTGAGAAAAGAACCGACCTATTTAATATGCGGGCGCAAGCCACTCTTATAAGTTTACCTCATCATAAATATCCTCGTTGAGCAGAGCATTATCAGTTTTACCTCCAAGAAGAAGACTCACCTCTAGCTAAAATATAAAATAAGTTAGAATTCTAAATTACCAATGGAAAATTTCCAAAGTTTTCTAATTTCAAATTTCCCGCCAATCGCCATCTTTAATATTTTCATATTTCCCGCCAAACTTTGTCAAAACAAAGCTGTTTCACCATCTTTAATAGTTTCATAATTACCGCCAAAGCTGATTTTTCCTATTTCCCGCCAAATTATTTCAAAACAAACCTGTTCCGCCTTGTTGTACAAATCCAGAGCAGTTTCAGATCCATAAATACTCATAGAATGGGAGGTGCTGGGGTTGTATACACTAAAAATATATAATTATTTCTTCTTATTTTGTTAAATAGGGACTATTATAGTGAGTAGTGACAATCCATGCAAAGAAGGAATGCCGTTAACGGCATTTTCGTTTTTTTAATTACCGTTAGTTGAAGACCGTTAACAGCGTTAACGGAACATTTTTAACGGCTCTAGTCGTTAATGGTACCTTTATTACAAAATTTCATTAATGGTTAAAAAACGGTATATTACAGTATTAACAAAACACATGTTAGTGGAACTAGCTAGACTATAAACACATGTTAGTGAAACTAGCTAGACTATAAACACATGTTAGAGGAACTAGGTAGACTATAAAACACCTGTTAGTGGAACTAGCTTTACTATAAACACATGTTAGTGGAACTAGCTAGACTATAAAAACACCTGTTAGTGGAACTAGCTAGACTATAAACACATGTTAGTGGAACTAGCTAGACTATAAACACATGTTAGTGAAACTAGCTACACTATGAAACACATGTTAGTGGAACTAGTTAGACTATGAAACACCTGTTAGTGGAACTAGCTAGACTATAAAACAAATGTAAGTGGAACTAGCTAAACTATAAAACACATGTTAGTGGAACTATCTATAATATGAAAGACCTGTTAGTGGAACTAGCTAGAATATGAAAGACCTGTTAGTGGAACTAGCTAGACTATAAAACACATGTTAGTGGAACTATCTAGACTATAAACACATGTTAGTGGAACTAGCTTAACTATAAAACATATGCTACTGGAACTAGCTAGACTATAAAACACATATTAGTGGAACTAGCTAGACTATAAAACACATGCTAGTGGAATTAGCTATAATATAAAACACCTGTTAGTGGAACTAGCTAGACTATAAAACACATGTTAGTGGAACTAGCTAGACTATAAAACACATGTTAGTGGAACTAGCTAGACTATAAAACACATGCTACTGGAACTAACTAGACTATGAAACACATGCTACTGGAACTAGCTAGACTGTAAAACACATGCTAGTGGAACTAGCTAGAATATAAAACACCTGTTAGTGAAACTAACTAGACTATAAAACACCTGTTAGTGGAACTAGCTAGACTATAAAACACATGTTAGTGGAACTAGCTAAACTATAAAACACATGTTAGTGGAACTAGCTAGACTATAAAACACATGCTACTGGAACTAGCTAGACTTTAAAACACCTGTTAGTGGAACTAGCTAGACTATAAAACCCCTGTTAGTGGAACCAGCTAGACTATAAAACACCTGTTAGTGGAACTAGCTAAGCTGGCTAATCTTGAGTCATGGCTGCAGTTATAGCTGTCCGCCCTAGAACTTCCGTATCTAAAAACAAGGCTAAATACATGTTTTCATCACTTAAACCTGAAGAAGGGGGGGGGGGAATGTAATCACAATACCCTGTTTTTTTATCAAGAACGGCGAGCATTAAATTAATGCATCTTTTTTATTTTTGTTATATCTACCAATTAATTGATAAGAAAAAAAATTAAGAATATTTCTTAATAAACTGGAGAAGTCGCGGCAAGGGATAAAAAAAAAACAATAAATTTCATCCTAAATGAGATAAAAATCCCATTTTGAAATAGGCTTAATGTTTATCAAACAAGAAACTGAGTCTAAATAAACTGTAAATGGAGACTAAATATAAAAATATAAAGTTAGTTATTATCAAATAAATTAAACCGAAAAAATTCTATTTATTTAAAAATTTCAGTTTTGATGTCATGTCAAATATCTATTGAAAATCATATTGTTTTGTATTAAAATTGTACAATTTGAAGAGAACAATGATACGTTTGATTAGGTAATTATGTTTAATTAATTAATTCCCAGGAAAAAAAAATTGTTTTTCTTCTCTAACCTTTTAGAAAAATAATTGTAACCTACAATTTAGTACCAACATGAAAATAATGAAGAAGGTCATCATCGAATATAAAATAAAAGCTTTAAATTTTTCCCTAATTTACGCAGCAATGATATTTAAACTGACAGATCAAAATGACTTGTAAAATTAGTTTTTTAAGGATTAATATAAGAAAATGTAAAAGAAAAATTATTCAAAAACGACCGTTTTTAAACATTTCCAAAATATATTCTGGAAAAACTGCTTATTTTGATTTCCTAATTTTTTTGTTTATAACAGAAATTTCATGAAGTAACGGTTGAATTTGGATAGTTTTTCGTCTATATTTTCTCACGGATTAAAAAATTTGGTAAGGGGGAAGAAAAGTAAATATATTATTGATTGAAAGAATTCGCATGTTCATTGAAACTCTCTTCGTTGATTACCTTAAGTCCTCCTCAGAATGCAATAACGTGGTTTTTAATCCAGCCTAAAAAAGTTGGTATACAAATATGCCAGACATAAACAAAAATATGAAAAAATGAACAATATTATAAAAAAAATACGAAAGAATGAAAACTGGTCTGCTTCAACGAAATGTTTTTGTCTGCTAAACTATTGAAAGGATTTATAAATACTAGCTTAAGTGTGCGGCGTTGCGCGTAAAATTTTGAAAAAACTGGAAAATTTACAGTGATATTCAGAAAACTCTGGAAAAGTATGACGACTTTGAGAATCAAGTTTTTACTTTAAAAGTTCAATGACCCATTTCACAAAAAAAGTAATTTATAAGTTTCTGGTAAAACTATTTGCTTTGTAACACCATCAACTACACTTAAGTATTGCTATACTGTCGTCTTCTTATTCCATTGTTTTATGGTAATCACTGTAGTTTTTCTTTATTTTGAAAAATAAAATTTATTTTGAAAAGAATCGATTTAAAAATATTTTAAGCACAAGTTGCGCCCTAAGTTCACAGGGGTTCCCTCAAAAAAATGAAAATGAAAAAACAAGGAACAGATTGTGCTTTATGAGATCAAAATTTTAGAACACACAATTCGTTAGATATGAAAATGTTCAGAAGTTTTTGAAATCCTCTAAAACCCCCGGAAAAGTAAACAGGGCGTTGGAAAATCAGATCTGGCAAACGCTGAAAAAGTGAAAATTCACAAATTTCATAAGATTCAAAAATTTATTTTTAGAATATCGTTGTTTACCTTTGATTCCTCCAATACACATTTTGTATCAAATCCTGATAAAAATATATAAAATTTAATAATTTTTAGCCAAAAGAATCGAACTTTTGTCGCAAAATAAAGAAAAAAATTATATTTCAAAGTCAGACTTTTTTCCTTGAAAAATGGATCGTAATCGACATAAGATCAAAAAGATATAGGTATACACTGTTATAATGTATTAACATTAATTAAAAATTGGTCTTTATTAATTGTAAATTCTAATCAAATAAATTCAAGAAATGTTACAATTTGACTAAACTTTCCTTTATGGAATTCTTGTCTTCCAATGTCTGACAACGTTAAAGCAAAATTAAAGTGACGCAATTTTTACGAGATCCTTCATTCAAGGATGATAATTTGCTACGTCATCATTTATATATTTATCGGAGCAAACACGATGGAGATATCCTTGTTTTTATATTCAAAAAATTACAATTGTCAACTTTCACACTAGGGTTTTTTAATATTATTTGTTGATTTGAGTATAACAGAGAAAGAAAGGAAATTTACAGAATTAAGAGTCACTCAGACAAAGTTTAATGGGTAATATTGTAAGCATAACTTAATTAAAGATTTCTTAACTCATAACAGCAATTTTTTTGTTTTACAAAATTGCAACGGATCTAATCCTAAACTTTTTAAAAGCCCTTAAAATTAGTTGACAGTTTACTATTCTATTTAATTTTCCTACCATTTTTGGCCATTTTAGCACCAGAACTATTAAAGTTAGCGGACTATTTTTTTCGATGAGCTAGCTTTGAAAATTTTGATTTTGAACATGTTTTATACGTGATACCTTCAGTCTTAGATCTTTTCTAGAGGAAGAACCGAACCCCCCTCCCCCCCCCCCGACTTATAAGGTTAATATTAGGTCTATAGAACCTTGAGTGGTAGCCAGGTTTAGAAGTTCTTCCCTCAGTAAAGCCAGGGTGGTAAACAGCTCAAGTTGGATCTCAGAAGAATTCACTTCAGTCTAAATAATGCTAAAAATGTACTCAAAATTAATACATTTTGGGTAATGATTGCTAGTAATTGTGAAAATATTGTATTTATTATTAATTTACGTTTTAAAGTTTTTATACTAAAAACGCTGGAGGATCCAATACAATGTTTAACTCTAATCTTCTTGAATGAGTAAAGGAATTAATTTTATGTTAAAAAGATATAGGGATAAAAAATAAAAGTTTTTTTGTAGGTAGACTGTTCCTTTTAATAATTGTTGCTTAATTTTTTTAAATCCTTATGGTTTACAGTACCAGGTTTACAAAGTCCTTATGAGGACATATCTGATTTTTATCATTTAAGTTGAATGTTTTGGGTTCAAGTAAACGTGTATTTTTTTCAATTTGTGCAGAGAAAAGGGGGGAATGCGACTAAGTAACAAAATTAAATTAATTATAATTAAAAATCATAAATTATAAATAAATAAAGGGGTACTAAAGCCCTCTGATTTTACTCAGGGGGGGAATTGACTACTCCCCCCCCCCCTCCAAGCCAATGAGAGGATGGTATTACAATGTGTGTATCCAAATTTAGATTATTAAATTTGTTAAATACATAAGGTTTAGAGTACCAGGTTTACTGTACAATGTGTGTATCCAGATTTAGTGTAATAAAGGAATTGACTCTTTGCCACAAACTCTGATTTTCTAATCCCAATATCTTTGGAACCCAATGTCGTAAAACTTTCATATTTCAAACTTATATTTTTTGATCTAATAAAAGTCATAGTTTGAAATTTCAAAGGTTTACGACGTTGGAATCCAAAGATATTGGAATTAGAAAATCAGAGTTTGTTGCAAAGAGTCAATACCTTTGTTAAATACATAAGGTTTAGAGTACCAGGTTTACTGTACCATGTGTGTATCCAAATATAGTTTAATAAATTTGTTGAATCCATGTGGTTTACGGTACCAAGTTTACTGTACAATGTGTATATACAAATTTAGTTTCATATATTTGTATTCAAATATAGTTTCATACCTTTGTATTCAAATATAGTTTCATACCTTTGTATCCAAATATAGTTTCATACCTTTGTATCCAAATATAGTTTCATACCTTT